TCAGGCATATAATAAATGTTCATTGAATAATAATAATAGCTAACATTTGGGTAGAATTTAAGATATGCCAGCTACTTTTCTTGAGGCTTTCTGCACTTAAAAATATCTAGTTTTCAAAACAATAGTACTATTTTTATAGATGAGCAATTGAACAAGATACTCTTTTTAAAATGATTTATTTAGTGTTGTGTGTATGTGTGTATGCCTGTATGAGACTATGTGTATACCTATGAGTGCCTGATTAGGCCAGAGATATCAGATCCCTAAGGACTGGAATTATTATGGGTAATTGTTAGCCCACTAATCTGGATTCTGGGAATAACTGTGCTCCATTTTAAGTAGTCACTGAGCCATTTCTTTAGGCCCCGGCAAGACAGACTGTTACTAGCAGACTTCATATCACACTTTATAAATTGAAGTCCAAGAATATTTTTATTATTGATGTTTTTAATTTAAGATAATGCTAATACAATAAACAACTATTCTATTAAATGGAAGGCATTGTTTAGAGCACTTCAATGTCTATTTCTCACTATTCCAACAAGTTTTATGAATGAGTACAATTACTAACTTTGTTTTATACATGACAAAGCCAAGTTTAAGATATATTCTTAAAAATACACTGGAACAGGGTATAATTCAGTAGTACATCATGTGCTCATAGTACATGATTTTCTGTGTTGTTTTTAGCACACCAAACTGGAAAACTGTTTTTAAAATAATTTGTACATACTATTTTTAAAAATATTTTTATTTAAATTATAAACAATCTTCTTTTACATACCAATCCCAGTTCTCTCTCCCTCCCATCCTCTCATGCCCCTCGACTGCCCCCCAAGTCCCACCTCCCATCCATTCCCCAGGATGGGTGAAGCCTTCCATGGGAGATCATCAACATCTGTCACATCATCTGGGGCAGGGCCTAGGCCCTCCCTGTGTATCTAGGCCAAGAAAATATCCCTCCATGGGGTAATGGGGTCCCAAAGTTCATTCATGCACTAGGGATAAATACTGGTTCCACCAGCAGAGGCCCTATAGACTGCCCAGACCTTCTAACTGTCACCCACATTCAGGGGACCTGATTGGGTCTATGCTGGCTCCCCAGCTATCAGATTAGGGTTCATGAACTCCCACTTGTTCAGGTCAGCTGTCTCTGTGGCTTTCCCCAGCATGGTCTTGACCCCTTTGCTCATCACTCCTCCCTCTCTACAATTGGATTCCAGGAGTTCAGCTCACTGCTTAGCTGTGAATCTCTGCTTCTATTTCCACCAGCTACTGGATGAAGGCTCTAGGTTGGCATATAAGGTAGTCATCATTCTCCTTATAGGGAAAGGTCATTCAAGGCAGCCTCTCCACTATTGCTTAGATTCTTAGTTGGGGTCATTCTTGTGGATCTCTGGTCATTTCCCTAGTGCCAGATTTCTCTTAAAGCCTACATACTATTTTTTAAGAATATTGGAAATAGGAAAATGACTATTTCATATTGCTTTTGGTGACAAAAGGAGGGCAAGGCACTGCCCTTTTCAGTCCCCATAGAAAATAACATTTGATCCTCACAGTGACCTCTGAGAGGTGGGCACGTCTCTCCTTATTTTATAGTAAGAAAATCGAGGCTTGCAGAATAACAGTAGACACTTAAGAAGAATGGCGGTGCTGGGTTCCAGCTTGTGTAGTCCGATGTTTCACTTAAAAGAGTCATATTCAGGTTCTGTTTTCTTCCTCTCAGGGGGAAAAAAAGAACAATAAAACATCAAATCCAGTGCTTCCCACATGCTAGGTAAGTGTCCTGCCACTCAGATGTACTGCCACCCCTAGGTACTGGATTAATTCAAAACTAATCCAAGTAAGACCTGCAAAGGTATCTCTCAAATGACTATACAAGTAAAGACACTGATTAAGATTCAATATGGGTAAGTAATCTGAGCACTTTATCTGTTAGAAAACAACCAAATACACATCCTACTACTAGGATTCAAGAAATGTGCAAACTATTTTGAAAGAACTTACAATTTTAAAGAAAGTTTGTTCATGTTTTATGAACTCTTTCTGCTTCTGTATTTCCTATTCTTACACACACACACACACACACACACACACACACACACACACACACACACACACACACACACTGAATTACTTTTGCTTGGAATCATCATTAGGACTGAAAGGTCAAAAAAGAATTTGATGGAATAAAAACAAAGAAACACATAATGAGTTGATTTAACTCAGCGAATATGGAAATTTTATTTTTAGATTAGTTTGTATTTTGTCATCCAGGCATATTGGAATACCACTCAGAGTTTTCAAAAATATTCACTGATATAAATAACTTTCACTTTCAGAGCTACATATATACTGCATGTAGTTAGCTCATTTATTTACTTCAAACCTTTGGAGCCCTTCCTATGATGCTTATAAAATATAGATTCACATAGGTCTCTAATGATGGCATGTTGGAAGTGAAGCAGCATTTAATGTGTGACATGTCCCTACACGTAATTTCCCCATACATAGACACCACACCTTGTCGTCAATAAATAATTCCACTTTAATGGCAAAGTAATAATTTAGACAGGTACAGGGTGCACATTTGCAAAAAAATATATGCAAGCTGGTTTACAAGCTAGAGGAACAATAAACCAATAGAAAATACATCATCCAGTTAGGTCCATTGACACCAAATACTTATTGTTGGGGCTTTACAAAGACTACAAAACTTCTCAGGTGATTTCTTTCACTGATTCTGCCTATTTACATGATATGTTACACCCAAAAATGTACAAAATATAAAATGTATACAGACAAATGTTTCACAAACTAGTTTACGTTGTAAACTAGGCGTACCTACTGGGATGTATTGCAGGGAGTTCTGTGTATGCTCATGTGTCGACTGTGTTTCTCGAAATGGCAGGGAAAGATTAGCAATTTCCTTAGATGAATATATCATAACAAGGGCAACTAGTCACTCATCCAGCTACATACATTGATGGTGCATGACGGATGTGATCCACAGTCGAGGCTCCAAAGTCAGGGTGACAATTCTGTGTGCATAAATTCAGTCGGATTTCCCTCAGAGCAATAGCACCGTGTAAGGACCTACACACATAGTGACACTCTGAAATCTGCACAGATACCTCGTGTTGTTAATATTTTCCTAGAGAAACCAACCCATAGATGGTCACAGAGGGTAGCACCAATAACATGTCCCAAAAGGCGCACATAGCTTCTTCTACACCATGGCATAGACCTTAGATTTCATTAAACTTTGAACCCATCCTCTGTGGGTGGTGTAACTTCGCCAGTGACTGATTGGTTTTTCACTCACTGTCTTTTTAGCCTGCCACAAAAGTGATGTACTTTCAGACAGTTATTTATTCAAAAATGTACTGGCCTCGTGTATAGTTCGGAAGCATGCTCACTCTTGCACGGATAGCTCCTGCATCGTCACGACAACTTGTAAGTACAGGACAAACACACCAGATAATAACGGCTTCGGGGGGTTGCATTCTGTATTTGTTTGCAACATACAGGAAATCTCAGCAAGTGGAACACCTCTTCACACCAACAGGATAAAATACAATTTTGTTTGTGTTTGTTTCAATTTTGTGCAAGTTTGAAAAGAAAAATCATTATTTACAATACCTACCCAGTAGACTGTGCAAATCTAACCTTCTTGTACAGTATAAATGCTTCCTCTTCCATAGTGACTGACTGCATTACTGTTCTTTAATGCTGAATGTCTCATGTACAACAAGAGCAATCAAAATAACATGCGTCAAAGCTAACGTCTGTCTCTGAAAGATGAAGACGAGGGAAGGGAAGCCAAATAGTTGTGCTCATGCCGAATCCAGCGTTTTCAGGAGTTCATCTGGATCCCAATTAGAAATCTCCCACCTTCTAACATACTTTCATTTAGAGATGGGTGGAATGAAGCCACACGTCTCTGCTTTTAAGTGATGGTCACAGAGGGGTTCTAGGGTTCTCCAATAATTTGCAGGATAGGCAAAGAAATCTCTTTATTCATGAGATAAAAATACTGATCTTTCTCCTATCCATTTCTTCAACAACAAGAAAAAATATCTATAGGAGTGAGGCTGCTGTATTAACTGGTGTGTTGCTTGGTTGTAAATGAAGAGACAGTGGGAATTAGCAATGGTTTAGGATTGAAACCAACCGTTAAACTGTTGGAGAAATCTGTTTTAAGGCAGTGAGACAGCACCATAGAAAATGTTCCTTCTGTCACTGAAAAGGCGCAAACAAATAAAGCCCTAAAAAAGCCTTTTGTCAGTGTTGACTAATAATCGGTATAAAACTGGGGTTCGGGGAGTGGGCAGGTGGTTTGAAAAGACCACTGTGGTAAAAACAACCTTATAAAACCCATGACTCATACACTAGGAGGAGGGTAGCACACCTCAGGGGAGTGCAGCAGCTAGAAGGAACCTGGCCCTTCCCATTTGCCACAGTAGTGTTTTTCTGGCGGTTGCACAATTCCCTTTGTGCTTACAGAGAGAGAGAGAGCGAGAGAGAGAGAGAGAGAGAGAGAGAGAGGACTGGCCTTAGATTCATTCTGCAATGGAGTGAGCACACAACACAGATATTACGGGATCCCTGTCACCAGCACCATGTGGTACAAAGGCAGGTTGCATGGATCAGAAGACTGGACCCTGCCTGGGGCAGCCCTCAGAGGAAACAAGAGAAAGGCACAAAAAAAAAAAAAAAAGAAAGAAAGAAAGAAAGAAAGAAAGAAAGGAAAGAAAGAAAGAAAAGAAAGAAAAGAAAAGAAAGAATGAAAGGAAAGAAAAGAAAAAGTTGTCCTGCATTGTAAACTTTGAAAGAGGAAGAAAATAAAGTCCGGCCTGCTATCCCGTGTGAAATCTACTCAGTTGCCCAATGTTAGGGTCCTTCCAGTCGCATAATGGAGCCCTTGCTAACTCCATGGTTATCAAAATGCCTAGGGACAAAATAAACTAAGCTCCGATTTCAATTTAGCATCCTGGCGGGCTCCAACCTAATTCTGCTGCCTTCTTGGAGGCCAACGACTCTGAACTCTGGGTCAGGACCCTGGACAGGGGACTTTCATACTGGCAGTGGTTTAGTGGCAACACCTGTCTTTTAAAGCATCTTTGAACAGCGCTGTCCTTCGCCTAACTCTTTTCATCCTTTAGAGGGTGGATTCAAGAGAGGAATCCAAAATGTCTTCATGGTGGCGAATGCTATCGCTGTCGCAACTTTGCGTGCCCGAGTAGTTGGCTGCTTCCTGGAGTTTCATTAGCATATTCATCTGAAGAAACAGAAAGAGACATCCTTGTGAGCAACTATGCATGAAGTCAGCCAGCCCCAGAATGAACAGGGCCCTGAGCCATATCAGGAAACCGTAGTCTCTTCTCATCCCATCCAAATGAAATGCACACGACAGTTACAGGTTTTCGCTCACCGACCTGGCTCCTGGATTGTTTCTGTCAGAAACAACTATAGTTCTAAACCAGAACAAAATAGGACTGCAAGATAACTCTTTTATTTGGGGCTGTGAATGAAAACTGCTCCAGCAGGGAGACTGGAAACGAAACTATCACAGCTGGACATCTGTGTTGGTTGCTGGAGAGCAAGCCAAGCTCCCCAGCTTTTTGGCTGTGAGAAGCAGAGTACTGAACAGCAAATGTACACACGCACACACACAGACAGATACTGTGTGTGTGTGTGTGTGTGTGTGTGTGCGAGACAGAGAGAGATGACAGAGAGAGACTTGCAAGCACTGTCCCTTGAGAGGAGCAGGGACGGAGTGGTATGAAGCCAGCTGCTGCACACAGCATACCATCTGTTGATTAGGCGCTGACCTCCAGAGGGGTTAAGCGAGGGAAGCAGACCATGAGTATTTGAAGAGGGAGAAGGAAAGAATCACTGTCAAGGCTTTGCTGTCACTGAGGCTCTGGCTGAAATATGATGGATACATCACTGAGAACAAAAGCCACCTTCCGGAACAATAGCAGCCTTCTCAGGCTTCTCAACTTCACAGGGGAACGGTAGTGTTTGTTCCAGTAGAGAGGACTTGTGCATGAGAGCACCTGGGGAGGGAGACAGCTCTCCGATGTACTATAAAATAAAAGGCTTGAGTTTCAATAGATGTGCGGTTCCACTATTAGAGATGGGAGCTAGGGAAAAAAGAATGTTTAAAAGCAGATTGGGAAAATCGATGGCTTGACAATTCCAGAAGGCACAGGGTAATTGGCGCCTGTCTTCATGAGGGTCGGACACTTGTTTTCTTATTGAGGGTTTCTTACAATACGGTAAACTTTATATTGCTTAGTGCCAAATACCAACTACAGTACCTTTTGCAACAATCAAAGTTGTCCTTATCTTTCAACTCAGAGAAATAGGAGGGGAGGGATATCGAAAACAAGATGTCTTGGTCTATGACAATTTGTAGGTCAGTATAAAATTGTGTGCAATAAACGCTTGTGAAATAAATGATGAACTGGTAAGCATCAATTCCAGCAAGAATGCCATTTTGACAAAGAGGCTGTGATTATAGAGTATTTTGAAATCCTTTTGATAATTTTCAGGGCATTTTCAATAGCATTTCAGCCTTAACTACTATAATGTATTAAACCACCTACACAAGGGTATTAGATGAAAATGGTCTGAGATAATGTCGGGAAACCTAAGCATTTGACTGAGGCTGTTTTATGAAAGAGACTTGTGTCTGAGCACCCTCCTGTCTAAAAAAGTGAAAATACAATATCCTCTGACCCCAGGGGGCACCAGGCACACACGTATGTGTGTACACACACATACGCGCAGACAAAATACTCGTATACATAAAATGAAGAAAATGGTGTCTACGGTAGTTTCAATCAGCAGCATTTCCCAGTCTCAGATCTCTAATAAACACATACAATGTGATCACTCTGAGTCTAGCTGTGTTGTTTTATAAACTGTTATAAAAAGGATGTTAGAAAAAGAAGGTGAATTTACATAAGACTCAGATGCCATTGTGATCAATCCGTATTCTCTGCACGTCATTTCTCCCTGCACTGCATCCTCTCTATACACACAGCTAAGCTATTGCTTATTACTTTAACATGCTTTTCAGTGTATCTCACTCAGGAGCTGAAGCTCTGCTAGTTACCCCAGCTCTATGCATGCTCTGTCCCCTGCTCTGTTACAAGAATAAGCAACTACTAATCTAAAGGGATAAATAAACACCAGTGAAAAATACTACTGACGCTCCACCGTTTGTGTGATAAAGTTTTAACTACCCATAAAAATAAAATGGTTCCATGAGATCTAACAGCTGGATAAGGCTATAGTTTTAATTTTTCTGACCAACTGATATTTGGCCTCTAATTCTTAATTTTCACTGTGCTGTTTGGCAGTGCTTTGTGTGATATTTCCAGGATTTGAGAGGTTCTGCATTCCACCACATGAACAACGCCAATGCCTGTTTCAACAACTAAAACATGGACTATCTAAGTATCAACACATTAAACACTATACATGTTTAATGTATAATCAGAGAAAAATTATAGTTAAACAGTTTGAACCAGTTTCAGGGTTTCTTATTTTTTTTTCAAAAAAAAAAATTAGTTGGTTTTTTTTTTTTTTTTTTTTGTATTGTCTGTTTGTTTTTTTGTTTGTTTGTTTGTTTGTTTGGTTGGTTGGTTTCTTCTTAAAGAGTTTCAACCAGGGGAGTTGCTCTAAGGGTAATGTTTTGGATGAGTATCTTATTGGGCTGGTTTCGTATATTACCTACAGTAACTGGTCTTTGATGCCGATAGCTAAATGCTCACGACTACACTGACCTGAAGACAAAGCAAGAATAATCGGACATGCTTACCAAGGGGTCCCCTTCCGTATCAGTCTGGGGAATGTGCTTCGAGGTGGTGGCTTCCTTCACAGTTGTGTAGCCCTCATAGCCAACATCTTCTGGTCTCAACTGCAATAGTGCTGGGCCCTCCTGAGTCAGGGATGCGGCGTTCCATGGGTAGGTTTCAAGGACCCACTTGGATGGATCTTCCCATGGTGCACGTTTTCCGTACATCTAAAAGTTCACCACATACAAATATCATTTCCATTAAGAAGGGAGGGGTGGGTGAGGGGGACTGCTAATTAGGTGACAAAGACCAAATTTTCACATCCAGTTCTTGTGTGTCTTTCGGGACAATTTTCCAGGTTTTAAAAAAAATATACATCTACGTAGCTCACTTAAAGCCTCAAAATTCTACCAGATTAAAGGGGAAAAAAGCACGAAGGAGTTTTATGATAAGGAAATATAGACATTCTTGCACACATATGCTTTTTACTAATAACTTTACAAACCCAGGGGGAAACAAACAAACAAACAAAAATTCCTCAAGGTTGATAAACAAGATATGGGAAACAAAGCCTGGTTTTTCAGTAACGGGAGTTCTCCACCAAAACGTAACTGGGAAAGATGGCAGATGTAGCGGGCTTTTTGTCCATTCACTGTCCTTCAATAAACATGTTCCTCTAATAACCACCCGTGATGCCATTGCTTCCCTTTGGAAGACTTCTGATATGCTTATAAAATAAGAATACAAAGAAAAGAGGGGGGAGGGGGATGGAGACCCAGTTATGAATTCTGAAAGAGATGCAGGAGAAGGGAGAGAGTAGCGTCAGTAGCACACAGGGGAGAAAACCACCCCAGGGTTTCTCTATTAGGAAGGAACAAAGCTGAAAGAAACTGAAGAGGGTGGAGTGAGGAGACAGAGACTGGCAAGATTTTGAGAGAACATGGCTAAACTTAGGAGGAGGCGGCAACGGTGTACTTCCTTTTCCCTTGTGACCTGTGCCACCAAGGACCTGCATGGTTACCAGGCGCTCTAGTGACATGAACTCAGAGGACAGCCTTCGGTTTGTTGGGTGATGATGGGTGCTTTTCGTGGTTCGGTGAGGCAGAAGAGAAATATAGGTATTGTGAAAACAAGTCCATGGAATACTACTTGTAGGTTTCTCCAGAAATATTAAAATTATATATATTATACATACATACATACATACATACATATATCTGAATCCATGATAAAGCAAAAATTACCTAGGTCCCAAAATTCCTTTCAGAAGGACAGGGGCAGAAATCTGAACATTATCTGCTTTTCATCATTTTTTAAAAAATAACTTTCATTTTGGAGCAGGAAGTCTCAGCTAAAAACTACTTAACAGAGGGTTAAAAAAGAAAGTTATAGGTAATCAACTAATTAAAAGGAAAAACATGTACAATTCTTTTTGAGGGGGAAGATTCAAAACAGGGTTTCTCTGTGTAGCCCTGGCTGTCCTGGAACTCACTCTGTAGGTCACGTTGACCTTGAACTCTTGAGATCCATCTGCATCTATCTCTGCCTCCCAAGTACTGGGATTACAAACATGTGTCATCATCACCTAGCAATGTACAGTTCTTTAAAAGTTTGTGCTTACAGGTTTAAGGGATGGGTCTGTAGTTAAGAGCACTGGCTACTTCCTCTTCCAGAGGAAGCCAGGTTCGATACCTAGTACTGGCATAGTAACTTACAACCTTCCTTAACACTAGGACCAGGGTAATTGATACTTTCTCTGGCCTCCAAAGCCACTAGGCATGTATGTGGTGCGCATACATACATCCAGGCAAAACACGTAAATAAAAATACGTAAAATAAAAATAATAAGTAAATCTAAAAGAAGAAAAAATAAAACAAACAAAAAAATTGGAAGTCGAGAATTGACCTGCGAAGACTTGAGAATGTATAAGAACTGAACTGATGCCAGCTATTTTAAAGAACGGCAAGGATGGCCAGAGTACAGGAGACAAAAAAAAAAAAGTGACTATTACTATTATAAGAAGAGAAATCTAAACACCCAGAAAGAGCGGATTTGGTCATTGATATTCCAAGAAGGATGGAATCACCAGAAGAAAAACCCAGATTTTCTGTTGTCAGGAGCATCCCTTCCAACCAGAATATGTGCCACAGAGCATCCCCCAGATGGTCCCCAGCAAAGCACCAGCCTTCATCCAAAAATGACTCCCCTTTTCCATTTCTCCAGAATCATTTCCTCTCTCCTTCCTTTGAGATAAGGTCCTTGGATACTATAAGATCCAAAGACGTGGTGTGATGTACAACCTTCTCTTCCCTAATATGGAAACTGTATCTGGGGAGTAATTCACCTAAATGTTAATTCTAAAACATAACTTCTCTAATACAAGTGAGTTTTCATAAATGATAAAATTATTTTTTTTAATGAAGGAAATTTGAGAGACCAGCTGACATTATAAGGAGCACAATGGTTTTTTGAAAATTTGAAAATGCAAAATGTTTAAACTAAGGCCATGTCTTTTTCCTTGGATCCACTTACTAATCTTTGTCCTAAGATGTAAAACTGTGTAATTAAATACCCATTTAACAAGAACATTTTCAATGGCCATTCCAACAATATTGGTCATCAATGCATAGTGTTGGGAGAGCTCCTTTTGTACAGACATACGTAGCAGCCTTGTGTGTACCACACATTTATTGTTTTACTCACTTTAGTTTTCTGCATAAATAGCCAAATAAATGAATGCTATGGTTTTGTAAAAAATGAAGGTTTGGCTTTTTTTTTTCTTTTGCTTCATTTTTCTGCACAGTAATAAATGTCAAATACTCTACCTGAAGGCCTTCTCTCACTGCTTCCAGAATGTAAGGTACCAAGGAATAATTCCAAAGGTCCATGAACCACACCCTAGAACCTTCCACATCCATGGGGCACGGAAGGAAAAGCCGAGGACCTGGCAAGATAGAAGTGATAGGGTGTTTCAGAAGCATTGTGTTTACCAATCCAAACAGGCGTTGAGAGACATTCTGGAGAAATAGAACACACATTCCTAGACAATTCTACTGTTGGTCAGCCCAATCATCATGAAAACATGGCCATGGAAGGTCAGGTCTCCAGCCCTCTTGTTTTTCCAAACAATCAAGCATTAATGAGGAGAAATAGTTGATGTTTACAGTCCAGTCCTATTTTACAAACAATGTAAAGTTCAGGTACACAGAAGTGAATTGCCCATCACATAGTGCCGTTACTTGCAGATTCCGAATCAGTCTAGAAGACACTAGAAGTTGAAGATGGAATGCATGCCTGCAGCTGAGGGTTTCTGATGATTGAGGGCAGTGGGGGATACACTTCTGCCCAGGAAACTTACAATAGAATGGAAAAACAAATACCATTGTGGCCCCCAAAGAGGGTAACTCGGTGTTATCTTTTGAGAAAAACAATGTGAAACATAAAACTTATTTATAAGAAGTCCACTAGTTTTTACTACAGCCTTCTCTCATGGCCACATCTGAGTGAGCTAATAGAAAAAAAATGTGTGATTTACTCTTTTTTAGCATAAAAAAATTACTCCCAGTGCTTTTTCTTTGGACTGATATTCTAATTTTTGAATACCTTCCTATTTCAAACTTAATTTTACTTTCCATTGTTGTCAGATACAATGAAATAATTATAGATAAAACACTCCGAAACACAGTTTTAGAAAGGAAAGGATGCCCTAATCTTTGGGAGTTTAGTAAAGCCTAGCTTTTCAGATTAATTCAGTATCCAATCTGGCCTCCTTTATGCAATAATCTCAGCACCTGGAAAATGGAATATTTTAATTTTGGAACTCACCGATAGTGACATCAGAAGAGCTATGTGTTTCCAAAAAGCTATTGAGATGATGCCATGTCTTAGGAATCCAATCTATGATTTTGACTAGGTCATTATTGCGTATATTCCTTTCAATTTCCATCTCTATCAGTTTCCTTCGAAGATACCTGCCTAAAAAGCCTTTCACTGGTTCCGTGTGGTTTGCACATAATACCCACCTACAAAAAGAAAAGAAAAAAATCCGATTTCTTTTTGTAAAATGTAAAATTTACTCCCATACTAATTTTCATTGCACTATAAAGCACTAATGTCCCCGTGTTAATTAATGGCCACAGTGTGAAGCTGCAAGCGTTTAGAAAATCTATCGTCATTAGAGTTGTAATACAGTGAATTTTACTTCCTAGCTTCCAAGCAGCTTATGTTCCTGAGAGTGAGTGGGTGTATACATGCTGAGGGCTTCCGAGGGAGAACGGAGATCCTGAAATAGGAGCCTTCTTTACCGTCTCCACTCAGGCACGGGGTGCTCTATCTTAGCCAGGCAAGTAGTGAGCAGGGAAAGAAACACTTTTGCTTGCAGATTAAAGATCACAGAACATCTGCTTGAAAAAGAGTGCCAGGAGAAGTGAGAATTATCCCCGCCACACGGGTCACTGTAGGCGGGATTGTCAGCAACCAAATGGAAAGACAGCCATCTTTCTGATTAGAAAGAAACAATAGCAGATGCAAGGCATGCAAGAACACAGCCAGAAGGGCACACATACAGACACACACACACACACACACACACACGGATGGAAGGACAGACACACACACACAGACAGACACACACACACACACACAGAGACAGACACACACACACAGACACACACACACAGACAGACACACATATACACAGACACACAGATAGACACACACACACACAGACAGACAGATACACACACACACAACCAGACAGACAAACACACACACACACACACACACACAGAGACAGACACACACACACACAGACACACCCCCCCCCACACACACACACACAGAGTGCTTCAAGTCCTTACCTGAAATTGTGATGTAGCTCTAAGTTTGGTGATGAAGAGACTCCCTGATTCATTGTCCCAATAATATATGGACTAGGGAAAATAAGAGTAAGGGGTGTTCAGATGTGTAAGAAGGAAAAGACATGACAAGTGACTCTCTGGCATGGACTGCATGGTGGCCATTGCTGCCTGACAAAGTTCCAGCATTTTGACATGGCAGACCACACTTCTCCAGCACCTTTTTGCTTCCATTTTGAATGCATTCCCAATATTAATGCCTTTCCCTCTGAGAAGTTTTGTGTGGGCTTTGGTAAAGTATAAACGTGTGTACGATAGTAGCATCTCTAAATGAAATAATTCTTTGGGGAGAAAAAAAAAAATGCCCACTACCACAGAACCAGGAATGCCATTGTACCCTCCTAATTACACCAAGAACAGGAAAGTTAGAGATTTACTAGACACACTTGATCCCAAGGATGAACCACCTACAATCCAGAGCCTGAGGCCATTAAGGGCAAGAGTCCAGTTAATAAGTACAGAGAAATCAGAATGGTACGTAGAATGGGAAAAGAGAAAGCACCAGGGCCTCCCTCCCTTTTGGGAGTGTAGGAGAGGAACAGGCACATAGAGTAAGTCTAAGACACATTGGGACACAATTAGGGAAGAGCTCAGTGCAAATGCTGCATCATACCCCTTGGGGAATGAACATTGCTCTTAGTTGCAGTGGTGTGTCTGGTCCCAGAAGTCCTTTTCCCAAGGTCAGGCATTTGGGTAAAGGTCTCCAGTCCCTGGGGGGCTTGAGGGAAGTTCCTGCTTGATAAAGCAGTCACTCTCCTTATCTCTGGCAGGAGGGATCTATAGCCCTTCATTAACATAAGCCTGGTGCCTTTGGTCAAGGTCAGTGCTAGATTCCTCACCACCACCCCCATCTCAAGCCACACCTCTTGTCTCCCATTTAGTCCTAAGTCAGTCTAAAAGTTGTAGTCCCCCCTTTTTATTTCAAGTAAATGCTGCTGGTAGCCATTCAGAATCACCCTCAGGCCTTGTTTGTGTCCCCCACCCCACCCCCACCCCCCAGACTACACACTTCCTCTTTGGGACCTGAACTTCGCCACCTCCCACCACACCTCCGATTACACAGGTCTCCAGGATGTCTCAGATATAATTAAGAAAACCACAGGGTATTTTTTTTTTTTAATAGTAGCCTTTGCGAGGGAAATATAATGTTAAGTTAGAAAATGACCAAAAAAAAAAAAAAAAAAAAAAAAAATGGAAATGCAATTCCTACTGGGGAGTCCAACTTGAGATCCATCACTGAAGGAAGGCTCCTTCTTCCTCTCCAACCTGAAACTTAGTTTACAGCAAAAGGAGACTTTGCTCTTGTCTCTTCTACACTATTTTTTGTGAGAGTATTTCACTATGTAGCCCTGGCTGGCCTTGAACTCACAGATGTGCCTCTGCCTCTCAAGCACTAGGATTAAAGAAGTGTGCCACCACATCCTCTTTAGGCTAATACCTTACAGCTCTTGTATTTACATCAAAACCTTGTTAGTTTTCAGTTATTTTATATGTTTTGCTCTCATGTATGTTGGCATACCACATGTGTGCCTGATGCCCATGAGGGTCAGAAGAGGGTGCCAGAACTGGAGTATTAGGCCATTGTGAGCCTTCTTGTGTGTGCTGGTGGGGGAGGGGCAGTGTTACAGATCCTCAGTAAGAACAAGTTTTCCTAGCCATCTCTTTAGCCTCCTTAAAGCGTTTTAATCACATGGTAAGATTTGATTCCCACTTCCACGTTTATTTTATGATCGTCAATAGAGACAATGCTCCAACAAGCATGTGGATTTTCCTGTTATTTTATGCCTTGATTTAACCTGTCCCTTCACTTTAGATAATGAATTATTATTGCATTACTGGAGGGAGCTGTATCTGAGTGAACTAACTTCATCTCTCCAGGGAAATTGAAATGATATTTTGGTAGGGACTGAATAGAGAGTTTTATAATATCCTTCTAGTTATCATATCCCCTATTCCAAGAATCTGACCATCCCACCATCCACAATGGCATTCCAGTATGTCTATGGAAACTAACATCATCAACGAAGATGTAATCCTTCCATAAGAGTTCCCAAAGACCAGGTGCAGTGGTACAGGGAGACAGAGGCAGGGAATTACTGTGAAGTTGAGGCCAACTTGGTTAACATAATGATACCCTGTCTTGATGTTTTCAAAAAAAAAAAAAAAAAAAAACACACACAACAAAACAAACAACCAAAGCAAAAAACCTTCTGGGGGACATAGCTATGGATAATAGGTATCTTAAAGCTCACACACAGATTCTATGGAAATTCAGTTAGGATATTATTAGATTTCTTGCACTAATGGTAGCCATTATAAGTTTGCTTGTTTTTAAGGTTTATTTATTTATTTTGCATATGCAGTGTTCTGACTGCATGTATCCTTGTAGGCTGGAAGAGGGCACCAGATCTCTTTATAGATGGTTGTGAGCCACCATGCAGTCTTTGGGAATTGAACTCAGGACCTCTGGAAGATCAGCTAGTGCTTTAAACCTCTGAGCCCTTTCTCCAGCCCCATAAGTCTTAAAACACAAAAAGGTACAGAGAATAAGTGGCATTATTATTTCTAAATGTGTATGTTCCAATTATTTTTATGAGCTTACCATTTGTTGTATTTACAGTTGAGGAAACCATTGAAGATATCACTCAAAGAGCCCACATGGTGAAGATTATCCAGAATTATGACAACAGGGAGCTCCACACCATTATTGTCAGCACTGCACTGCTCAGCCAGGTTGGCAAGATACTGCTGCAGTTCCTTCAAGAGACAGAACAATGACATCAGAGATGAGTCTCTACCGCATGCAAGCAATTCACATGTTTAGGAATCACACACTGTGTCCCTCACTCAGGTTCCTTGTATTATTGCCTGCCATGCACAGAGTCCATCTAAAATCGAGAGGCTAGAATCTTTAAACAAAAGAGGGGCAGGTAGGCAGTCTATGTACAAGTGAAAACACAGGTTTATTTCAGTGGTTCGTGCTCAGGAGGAAAGCCAGGTGAGTCCTAGACACGAGCTCTCTTGGTACGCTATAAACATCAGATACCTTTCGCTTTTAATATTTCAATAAAGTATACCTTTTACCCAATTTATTTCAGTTATAGACTAAAGCCAAAATGGCGCCTTTCAGCTTCCTTATACACTTTCAACATTTTGATTCGAACTCTGTAGATGAGTTGTATGTAAAAGCACATCGCTAGTCCTCAAAAAAAAAAAAGTAGCTACAGGTGACTGTTGCAATTGTAAACAAAGAAACCATTTTTTATATATCACAGGATCATTTAATATCAGCACTTAGCATTTCTTGAGCTTCCTAGTTATTTTTCATACAATATTCTTGTCTAATAACTTTGAACCTAAATATGATAACCAGTTCTGTGATTGACAATTCTCACAGATGGGTAGGTCAGGAGCAAAATTAGGTTCCTTAGAATTATCCTAATCAGCAAGAACATTTCCATAATATTTGCATATTTATAATGCCATTTTCAATTTGTAAATCTTGCTCAGGGTTAAAACAATTCCATGATCCCAATTTCTGGCAGTCAGGTAAACATATGCCCCCCACACACTAGATATGTCCTCACTCTGTCTCTGAAGTTAAGTTAGAGAACCAACAGCACAGTGGATACAGCAATGCAAGGTATGGCAGATGCACTGAGTAATATTCATTCAAGCTTTCTGGATAGGAGGTGGTCTTCGAGATGAATCTTGGACAGTTAAGTAAAACCTCTGGCTGGTAAGTTTGAAGTTATTCATTGTTTCAAGACACATTATCAAGAATTTTACTATGTGTCAGATACATTGGTACTGAGAACTCAAGGACCAGTTTCTTTGTTTCAAGAACTTCCAATAGATAAGTAGACAACCTGAGCAATGAAGAACATCACAGTACCATCAAGAAAGTGCAATGCATAAAACACCACACCAAGAATTAAAAGGAGCCTGGCCAAGGTCTGAACAGCAAAATAGAATGAGGAAAAATATTTAAAATACTAAGAACATTCACCCTCCCCAGAGTTAGAAAGGTCAGCTGTAAGATATATTTAGGGAAATAATAAGGGACTGTTGTTGTAGTGGACTCAGTGCATGGTCACAGTGTGTGAAAAGTACTGACGGAGGGAGAGGGAGAGAGAGAGAGAGAGAGAGAGAGAGAGAGAGAGAGAGAGAGAGAGAGAGAGAGAGAGAGAGAGAGAGAGAGGATCCATAAAGAGGGAATTGGAATGTATCACAGAAAAGTGTGGACCTATGGACCACTGAGACCTTTGTTTGGCTGTCAGTGGGAGGGAGGAATTTATTTATCAAAAGAAATACACAACGGTTTATAAAACTAAAGCCATTGCAGAAGCTTATTTACTAAGAAGTTAGGCAATGCATAAATAACTATAATTAAGATAACATTACATTACCTTCATATATTTTGTTTTGCAACATGTAAAGATTAGTCAAATAGCAGAAGCACTTCCCACTAATTGTTTATGGTGAGGGAATACTTTAGTGTTTAAAAATGAGAGAACTTCCAATGTAGAAAGACAGGAATAGGCAAAGCCAGAAACACAAAAAAGCGGTGACCAAAACACAAGTGGAAAGAGTGAGCTTTGTAAAATAGAAATGTAGGTAAATAACTAAAAAGGAAGTTTACAATCGGAAATGGCAGGTAAGATCATGTAACATATCCTGGTGAACAAACAGACATATGTAATATTCATGGGATGGGAATAAGGTAGAGTTATGATTCTGCAGTGCAGAAAGTACATTGCACACGGGGAACAGAGATGAGTCAAGAGGGACCGAGACTGTTGAAGCCAAGGGAAACTACTGTTTTCAACAGGAAAAGGGTGATATTTTCCATTGAGTGTAGAAAGCAACAGAAAATGTTGGGAGGATTATAACTGAGCCAGATTTGAATTATCAAGAGAGATTCTGTTTTCCATGATGTGAATTGATAAAGCTGACCAAAGAGTGAGGGGGCTTTTTGGGGAACACTGCAGGGTTCTGAGGAGGCGGAAAGGTGGTTACAGTGGAGGTTGAGGAGGAGGATGGGCCTCTGATATGGGTCCCATCTGCCATTTCTAATTATAATTTTAACAGATGAACTAGGACACACCTGCAGGCTGAAAGAAAACTTTGAAATGGGGGAGGATGATGTTCAATTCAAGTCTGCCATCCAGGCTAGCACACATGGAAGCCAATAGAATCATTCAAAGGGAGCAGAGGGAGCAGGAGAGAGAAGGGCAAACCATTAGAAATATTTTCATTTGTGAAGGCAGAAGCAAACAGAAAAAAAAAGAAAAAACAAAAACAAAACAAAACAAAACAAAAAAACAAAACAAACAAACAAACAAAAACAAACAAACAAAAAAAATGCCTAGAAAGATCTTACCATGGAAATATGTAGTAAAGGAAAAATTAGAATTGTGACAGCAAGAATTTTTAGAAAGGACATTCTTTTAATATCAACATACTATACTATATACAAGGAATCAAGAGACTTCAGATGTGCAGAACAATTAAAGGGCATGTAGTAGGTTCTTGGGAACATGATAAAAGTCATGGGCCACTCATTTTTTACAAACCATGGAAAGCACTTGGTGATTCTCAGGCCAGCTTATGGAACGGAACATTTGGGTGGAGGGGATGATGGACTTGCATTAAGCGCTTGCCATCCTTACCAAGTCAGGCAAGAGAGAGCAGAGCCAGCTGCCAGATGGGCATGGCAGTGAGATGCATTTACATCTAGACTTTGAGACCACGAACAGCACCACTGTTCTATGGAGATCACATCCCTGTGCCTTCGTATTCCAAGTATAGACATGTTACAGACGAATCAGGCCAATTTTCTGATCCTTTCCTACCTAAAATTCCAAGTGCCTTCAGCTGGCCACATTCTCTACTAATCCGTTTCCATCCTTCTGGATCTGTTATATCAAATGTCACAAAGTGTAATTGTTTGTGTGCTCTGCTCTCAACCACAATACTCCAGCTGGCAGCTTAAGGAAAGGCTTGGAGAGTGGGAAGAAGCGGGACAGAATGTGAAATGAAGAGCTACAAAAAAAAAGAAAAAAAAAAAAAAACAAAAACAAACAAAGCACGAGGGGGCACGTTTCTTTTTCTCTTTGACGGTTTATTGTTTGATTTTTTTTTTTCTTTTTCTCTTTTTGAATGTCCTGTCTCCTCAGTGCTATCTAATGGCACAGCATAAAACAAAGCAGCGATTACGTGGCTCTATTTTTTTTCTGCAGCAAAAGACTTATTATTTCATGCCTCATTAACATTTTATTTTAGAAAATCTATATTCCTCATTGCTACCCCAGCACAATCTTAACTTGTCATTCCCTCTTCATTTATACCATCCTTCTACTCACAGCCGCTCCCCTCCAAAATAAAAAAACAAACTATGGGTTCTCTGTCAACTTGAAAATAATAAGCCATATTTTCTGGCACTAAATTCTGCATCCAGCCCTACCCATGGCTCATTCATACTCAAGGAGAAAAATCAACATCTTTCATTTACATTTCATATTTTCTTCATTACTATTATATTACTTGCCTAAGATTTCTTCCTGTTTCATTTAAATACACCTAAGAATCCTGTCAGGGCCCATAAAAGTGACTCTGTTCCATCCTGACTTAAGATCAGAGAGTTCAAGCCCACTGTTGCTCCTCTAAGGTTAAATCTACAGTATGTTTGGCCTAAGGTGTGGCTATTGTGTATCTTGCCTTAACAACAGGGTATCTGGCCTAAAACATAGCTAAAAGATGTCTTATCTTCACAACAGGATATTTGGTTTAGGGTGTGGCTACCAGATGTTTTAGATATTGAGAAGGCAAATTTATGCTTGCTAGTTCTTTGTATCTTGTTTAGGAAGTCTTTTGTGGCCTCACCGCCTTTTGATTGTGAGTAATGAACTCGGGGCTGATCCCGATAACACTGGGTGCCCTCCTGACTCCATCTCTCGTCTCTTGTATATTTCTTTCCTCCATCCACAGCCCCCCTCTCGGATACGGACCAGATAAGTTGGCTGTACCTGATAGATGCCCCTGCAAAGTGGGCTATGACAGAATCCCACCCCTAACCACTTAGCAGTAACAAAATCTGAAATGAGAAGTCTCTTGGCTGATCTGAAAAACAAAAGCTAAACTATTAAAGTATACAATTAAAAACAATGTAATGACCATTATTAAGAACTTCTAGTACTAAAATTTAAAAAAGAATTAGTGAAACAAAAAAGAATATTTATAAATAAGTGGACTTTCACAAAGAGACTATTTTGTTGGAGGAATTGACGTCACAATGTCAAACTGTATCTCATTGACTTTTACAGTCAATATAAATTGATATATTTAATTCCAGCCATCTATAAAATGATCCTCCACTTTATCAAGATGCCTTGGTCTCCTCTTCTAAAATCCATTTTACTTATTTTCTAACCACCACTTTTTTCTTTTGTTTTATTTTTTCAAAACTTGTGTAGAGTTGTGGCATGTCAGCCCTGCAGACAAGCCAAAGAGAACACAGGGTTTGCCCAAGAGAATTCTTTTATCTTCTGGCTGGAAAGAAAAGTACAGTTGGCTAAAAGGCTTCCATGTGGAGACCCAAAGAAACGGGAACACGGGAGACCTTAAACTTGCAGGCGGGGACAAACAAGCAACTGACTGTCTCTCCTTCTAAGTCAGCTTAAAGGGGAGCCAAGTTTGTCACCTTTGGTTTTCTATCATTCCTCAGTTCCGGTGACAAAGAATGGCACAACCATAATTTGAAAAGTACCGAATTCCAAAGAAACACTCATTATTTACAGGCTGCATATATTCGAGTTTAAGATACCCCATTGCATTTTACGGATATCACTGTGCGAAAAGGAGTTTGAAGTAAGTTATGTGTGTGTTGGGGGTTAAGTGTATACTTGTGCAACAAATCTCCACCGGTGTGCTTGTTACCTTTGATAGTTTGTCTCTGTATTTTCCTATATAGTCATCAACTGCAAAAACAGAACAAACTAAATGCACAGTCATTTTCTTTGAGTTCAGTTCATACCATAACCTTCCATGTTCCCTCATTCTGCATTTGAGGGAAAAAAAAAAAAAAAAGGTACCAAGGAATTCAGTAATGGTCCCCAATGCTCCCACTACTTAATGAACCCCCTGAGACAGGTCTGCTTATGTAGTTACACATATGGTTTATTTGGAGAATCCAGTAGGTCTCAGGGGTGGAGGGGGTAACATATACCTGTTACAAATTTTCAAATTTCAAATGTATTTTCTATGTTTCTTCAAATGCTTGGGTGTTAGATGACTACTTGCTAGTTGGCAGGCTTTGAGGAGCTTCCTGTATTCAAGGGCTGCTAATATCATAGAAGGATGAACCTGCTAATGAGCTGATACTGGATGGGCTATTCAAAGGGAAGGGCTGATGAAGGGCTATAGTTCCCTGGGGCATCTCTTTAAAGGGTAGACAGTCCCCTCACTTTCTCTCTAATTTGTGGCTGCCATGAGATGATCCTCTCTGCCTCACCAAGTTCTCCTGTGTCCATGATGTTATGAATTGCCAGGCTAAACAATGGGGTTATCTGACCATGAGCTAAACTCTCAGAAACTGCTCCCCAAGTTTATCTCAGGTATTTTAGCATGGTGACAAGAAACCAATCAACACACTGAAAGGCTTGGTGAGTTTACACCATCCAACTAGTCCATTTAGAAAACTGTGGTATGCCTCTCTCTCACTGGGACTCCTCCACTTTCCCAAGAGAACCTCAGGTAGCAGATGTTGAGTTTTTAATAAACAACTGGTAAGATTAGTATAGTGTTAGGAACATGCCCACCATCATCTACTTCCTGTTTTAGTACTCTATTTTCCTAAGCACAAAGGTGCTAGTGAGCTTTGAGAACCTCCCATGCCAACGTAAGAACTGAGACTGATAATAACTGATAATAACTGAGGCTTGTTACTGTGCATATTGGGATTGTGGCCTAGTACAACACTCCTCACTTTCCCAAAGTTGTCATGAAGAACTGATCTAGAGATGACATGATAGAAACAAATTTCTGCTTTATCAGGATTTCTGAGAGTATTACAGTTATCTGAAAATCAACCCCTAAGCCTGCAATGTCCCACTTAATTTCTGTTGATTTATTGATGCTTAGACATAATACTGTCTTTTTATACAGCCTAGCTCAGCCTGTGGAGTCAGCCATTTAATCATAGCACCATAATTAATCATAGCACCATAAATGGCTACCTTTCTCATCTAACACTTTGTAAATGCATATCTAAGGGACATCAGTAACAGGGGTACTGACATTTCATTCCATATAATCCCAGTGACTTTCCAAGTACATGGGAAATGATTGCTATTAAAAACATTTTTATGGACATTAATGAAAGCAATGCTTGTTCATCCACTAGATTATAACTTTAGTGAATGACATAGTAGGATTTTTTTTTTTTAACGTGGTGACATGTAAGTTGCACATAATTTTAAACCTTGGTTGACGAAGACACTTCTGGATAATTACTAGTTATTTTCTTAGTTCTCTGTGACTTACCTTGCTTGACTTGTGGTCCACATTAAAGGTAGCAATTGCATCCTCTGTTTTTTTCCTCCCAGACTTGGCTATTACATATTCAGCAAGTTTGTTTGCTAAATAGGTCTTTCCAGTACCACTTGGTCCTGAGAGTATAATTCTATGGTGCTCCATCAGCAAATTAAAGTACCTTTGGGTAATTGATTTAGGGATCAGTGTATCAAAAACAAAACTGTCCAGACTATTTTCTTCTACTCCTGAAGGAGAAAAATCAAAGGGAATAATAAGCATTATTGATGTGTTTGTTTTTTGGGGGTAGAATTAGAAATACATTCTGAAGTCAAAATAAAGCTTTGTTGTCATAAAAATGTAGGTCTTGCACAATAATCTTCTAGCTGTTTCTAGCTTGCAAGCATTGGCTGTCATTTGAACACTACTAAGAAGGAACAGTGAACATCTAAGCTGCCTCTACCACCAGTTGTACGTTTTCCTTTATTGCTTAAAGAAAGAAAAATATAAATTTAAATTTACTAAAATAAATAAATGTGCTAATTTCTCTTAGAGATGCATGTATGGTGGGAGAGAAGAAAATGAGACGTGTAAGATGTAGCGAAGCAAGACAGAAAATGGCTTCATGAGGAGTCATCCAGGTGTAGTAAAAGACAACATGAGTTCAAGGCCAGCCAAGATTACACAGTGAGCCCCTGTCTCAAGGACATAGCTAAAAGGACACTACTTGGTATTTTTCTCTGCGCCATCCTTCTGTCACCCATAAAGCACCCCAGCTGTATAGCCATGTAAGCTTTTGAAAAAAAAAATGCAAATTACAGTGTTTGGGAAAGGATTAAGAAGAGTGCAACATTATTTCCTTTTACTAACCCAATTACTTTAATCATAAAACCAAATATTGACGAACCCCGCTATTAACGCTCAGCTTATGTAGCTACCTCCTCATTCTCGAACACACTTAAACAAAGGACTAGAGAGGCAAGCCTGTGACTGATGTCATATTAGCCATAACCAGTCATGACATCCAGAGCCCAGGAAGCAGCATGCCTCATCCCTGGTTCTTGACTTTCATTGTTTACCCCCTGTGGATGTTTATTGAATACACATACTTTTGGCTCCAAAATATGGTGGTGAATATATTAGCCCAGGAAACACAACAACTTTCACGGAAAGCTTGTCTTACAAAGAGGAGACAGAAAATAAAATGTAGAAGCCAAAGTTCCCCCTAGATGCATTTCTTCTACAAGTCTTGGTGACTCTTCAGAACAAGCCAATGTCCATTTCATACCAAAATTATCCCAGAGGCTAATACAATTTATGAATGTATGCAAACTTTAACAAACTGCAAGCACAAAGGAGAAAAAAAAAGAAGGGGTCTGGGTAAAAGTTGGTCTTTTCTGTTTACCTTTCAGGCTCACAGTGATGACATTATTGTCTCCAACCAGGTACCCACAAGGCAGAAGTTCAGGCACATCTAGGTTATGAGATCTAATTAAGTCTCCTATACAGTAGCTGGCGATACAGTCAGAGCTCAGTCCAAGACTAGAGGATGTGTCAATTCGGGACACATACTCCTAAAATGGTCCACACACAGAAAAGAAAAGTAAGTCAACACAGAGCTTCAATTCAAACTGTGACAAGTATGAATTCATGAGGATATAAAGCTGCTTGTCAAGAATTTTGATTCATAATTTTTGTCTATGGCCAGACCACCCTGAACACACCCAAGTTCCTCTGATCTCAGAAGCTAAAGGGGGTTGGGCCTGATTAGCACTTAAATAGGAGACCACTGGGATATCCAATGCTGTAGGCTTTTTGGGCAAGGAGATGGCACAATGGTTAAGAATAGTTGCTGCAGCCAAGCGAGTATTGGTGGTACATGCCTTTACTCCCAGCACTCAGGAGGCAGAGGCAGGCGGGTCTCTGTGAGTTTGAGGCCAGCCTGGTCTACAGAGCCAGTTCCAGGACATTCTCCAAAGCAATACAGAGAAACTCTGTCTTGAAAAACCAAAAAAGAGCAGTTGCTGCTTTTCCTGAAGACCTGGGTTCAATTCCTAGTACCCAGATGGCAGCTTACACTTACCTGCATTCTGGGACCAAAGGATCTGATGTCATTCTTTTGGCTAAAGACATAGGGCATGCATATGGTACACAGACTTAAATGTAGACCACTCAGACACATAAAACAAATACATCTTTAAAAATTAAAAGAAAATTTGGACTGACTGTATAAGAACTATCAAACAGTACAAGGAGAGAAAACTTTCCCTATGAAGAGGGGTTGGGGATCAGATATATCTAAGATACGAAGTTAAGTAAAACATCAAAAAGGTGAAAATATGAAGATTGATGTCAGGCTACCTTCAAAAGCTTACCTTAAAGAGACGCCTAATGACACCATCTAAGACATCCCATTTAGTTTTTCCACTGACACCAATGGATCCTATCAAATATGCCTGAGACTTCTGGTCCTTAGTGAGAACAAAAAGAAGAGAATAAAATAATTGTTTTATTAATTTATCACTATACTTACCATTAAAATGTACTAATGTAGTTGCTGCTTAAGACAGCATGTGGTAGTTTATATAAAATAAAACATACCCCAGGGAATTAGTTAACAAAGCCAATAAAGTAATAGGAGAGACAGAGAGAGAGAGAAAAAGAGAGAGAGAGAGAACTTGAATGGTACAGTAGGCAGAGGGAAGGTGGTACACAAGCTCTTAGAAGGAAGACAACATGATGGTATCACAGAGAATCGCTTTCCATACTGATATATTTGACACATTCCTCCTATTAGAGGCCACATGGAAGGAAGAGAGAATGGATTTTATGAAACAAACACAGAACTCCATCTGACTATTTTATGGTTTTTATCTTTGATAAAATAGTTTTCCTTTAAATTTAATACCCAATGATTCATTAACAACAAAGTTATCCATACTACCATGCCCTTCACCTATTTGAAAACAGATGTGGCTTAGAAGTTATCCGAAAGTCTCTAAGAACCTGCAAGAGAGACTTACAAGACTTATTATGGAATATATTTTAATAGTAGAAATGGTAGTCTCATATCTACAGTATTTATAGGATGGATCATTTATTTTTTTCCAGGAATATGAGAAATATAAATATTCTGTCAGTTGTAGTTAAGTTTGAATATTTTTTTTTTTGGTTAGGTGGAAATAATTATAGGGAATAATAACTGTTATGCCAGTAAGTAGAATTAGTTAACAATTGCAATCCTAGTTTCCATAGCCTAGTGTTCATTGAAGTATAGAAGTTCTAAAAAATAAGCTGAGGCTTTAGAACACATGGATTCTACAACCTGTTCAGAATACATCTACCTATTAGGAAATAAGTAATTGAACAGAGGTCAGTTACTTAACTGACTCCAAGCCTCGGGTTATTTATCTGTAATACTTAACACTGTCAGCATAAATGATAATCACCATTATTACTGACATATCATCTTTGGAAAAAGTTCACAAATGCTTAGCTAAGTGGTTCTGTTATTTCCTTCACTGTTGGTAGGGGTGAAATATTTATGTTCCCCAAATTCATGTGCTGAAGACCCGATCTCCAGTGGAATAATGACTGAGCATGAGGTCCCTGGGAGGCCTGACAGTGAGGACATCAGGATGAGAGTAACATCATTGCCACAGCCTCTCTCTTCCTTTCAGAGACACCAAGGAAAGGCACTATGAGAACCCATCAAGAATTCAACTATCTGCAACCCAGAGTGCCCACACCATCTCCCTTACTGGCAAGAAGTTTGGACTTGTCTGCCTCTGGAACTGGTAGAAAATAATTGTTTTAAAAAGCCATCTCTACCACATCATTTTACTGTAGCAGTCCTTACATACCTTACATACCTAGATGACTCTCACGGATTGTACTGGAAGAAGATATTGAAACACATTGGTATTTAGAGATGTTCTGGGTGGGAAAATTGTTTCTTTTCTAGTATGTTTATAGTGGAGCAAATACGGTGCTTATACATGCAACAGGACAACTGCTTTTAAATTACATGGAGTTTAGGATTCCCTCAGATCATGAGACATAAATGGTTACATGGGTAGAGGAGGCAGAAGTCTGCAGCTCAGATGGAAAGAATAGGATGATGGATTACTCCCAACACTTTCACAAACAATGCTTCCCTTTTAAGACTCAAGTGCTCTATTTTTAAACTTTGAACTATTTTGCTATTTTTAATTAAAAAGTACAAATATGCAATCTGGGCTACTCAGTCACAACCCCATTAAAAATCCCTTTGTGTTTTAGGACACAGAGTCAAGTAGCTTTAATTTGAAGGTAGTTACTTGAATACAAAAGTTATATAGTTGCCTGATCAGGTAGGACAATGCTTAAGATGGACATGGAAAAGTGGCTTTAATGGAGTGTGAGCTATTGGCTTCAGTAAACCGACTGGCTCTCTCTGATTCTACAGTATTCAGTGTCCTACAGTCTCCTGTTTGTACAGTGACCACATCAACAGCTTTAGTGACCTGCACACGGTGATGTCCTGTCTCTAGCCTTACATCTATAGAACATTCTCATCTGGTACCAATGCAAAGAAGCAGGGTAACTACAAGAACAAACGACACATCTAAGTGGACAAGTGTTCTAATTCTTGACTTACAGAGAACATACAATTAAGAAAATACCTTTGCTCGACCATAGCCCTTGCTTATGGAGACTATAATTTTCACACTGCGGCCATCCTTATGTCCAGCTGCGTCACCAGTGTCATCTAGCAAAATATCTAGAGAACCCAAAAAAAGAAACATAATCACTACAGAGCAACATTAACTCAGGGTTGCTTCCTGTCCATCTTTTCTCACTCCTACATTGTAAATATTGCCCAAGGAACCTACTTTCCATGGTTCCTAACTGGTTAGAATGAGTTACGTGGCAGGACTAAGATTGCAATTTCAGCATTTATTTCTCCTTGCAAAGATTTTTATTTAAGTGTTGGGCCATTGTCTTTGATTGAGGAATACATTTTATTGTATTGCAGATAGATCTAGATAATAATTGAGTAATTCTAACTGTAACAAACTCAAAAGCAATCCTGTTTTCATTATATGAATGCAAATGTTTGTAGATGTGAGTGGCTGTCAAGGGAAACATTTCCCAAGCACTTGGTACATGATACAGTTGTGATAGTACTTCCTTCATATCTGCTACTATTAGGTATTATTATTAAGCATGGCACTGTACACACCTATAGAAGAAAGTTACTCATTACTCTCCTTTACCCTTTACATTAATAATTTCAAAACTAAAATTCTGTTTTTAGCAATATTCTAATAGTACTGAAGCATGCTAAATTTTACTGGCATTTATAATACCAGCTTTAAAAATGAGTTATAGCACATAAATGTCCAATTTGAAGAATTGGTATGAAAAACATCCACATATATTTTTCCTTCATCAATGATGGTATTATTGTGTCATGCCCAATACAAAGACAGTGTTCTGTGAATAAAGATAATTTAGTTATATGCTAAAGACTTCATGTGTCTGACACACCTGCACTGATAATTTCTTACAGACAAACACTGTGACTATTAGCATCACCAAAACAATTTATTAAGATGACTACTGGAAATGGAATATTTCTATTTTTGTTTGAGACAGGGTCTTGCTCTCTTGCAGGCTAGCCTGGAACTCATAGAATTACAGATGTGAGCTACTACACCTTCCTGGAATGGCTTGTATTACATCAATAATAATTAAATATCTAATTTTGTAAAGGAAGAGGCAAAAATCACTTAACGAGTATATAATTAATGAAGAACATTTATAGTTATGGTGTATGGAAATTTCATTCACAGTTTTCTTATTATTATAATTATTAATATTATTGCAAGTAGGTTGAATGCAGGGCTTTGTAAAATATCTTTTGTTATTTTATTTTTGAGACAGGATTTCTCTGTGTAGCCCTGGCTGTCCTGGAATTTGCTGTGTAGACCAGGCTGGCCTCAAAGTCGCAGTGAGCCTCCTGCCTCTGTCTCCTAAGTGCTGGGATCAAAGGCATATGCTACCCCATGTTCAGAAGCTTTCTGTGTTCTTAGATGCACTTTCCCATGGAGCTTAATACCAGTCTTCCACATCACTGTAAAGTTCTAAGTCATCAAAGACGATCTTTACTAGAATTTATTTTTCCTAGAAGATATTATCTTAGTCTTTTTCCTTTTTTACCTATTATCTTCAGAAATAAAAGCTTGTAGTATTTTATTTATAGCTATTCTTCAGCAAGAAGAAATAACTAAAGTTCAAATAGTCTATGATGTGTTTCAGAATAACTAGAACAGAATGAAGTTCCCAAAGTATAAAGTGACTGACATTCAAAGAGATGGAGATTTTTTTTTACCCTGAACTGGTGATTACAGAATGTACATATATAATTTACCCTATCAAGACATATAAACATTACCCTAATAAGTTTGTTTCTTAAAAATTATTCCAATTATTTTGTTCCAAATTTTGGGAGTTTAGGACAGTATGCCATTGACTTTTCATATTTAAACTTCTTATAAATTCATGGCCAAACTTCCTCTTCAGCTACTCATGAATATTCATAATGGTTAGTTGCTCACAAATATTCACAAGCATCCAGTAAATACTTAGCAAGCATTAAAAAGAGAGAGAGAGAAAGTAATCTGGGTATTGAGGTGCATATCAAAGTAGAAAAACAATAAACTTCTTGTTTCTCTGGATGCATATTCTCAACATAGTGATTTCAGAATATGCTGGAATTAAAAGGGCAGTGAAATAGACAGGAATTGACAGGAGAAGGTCCTAGGTAAACAGGCATTTCTATAGGAGGTGGGGTTTGGAAGAAGACCAGAAGGCTGAGGAGTCCTACACAAGCAAAAAGCCAGGAAAACTGGGTCAGTAAAAACAAAAAACAAAAACAAAGCAACATAAAATACCCCCCCAAATAAACAAAAACAAAAGTGCAAAACATTGTTTTAAGAGCTGGGTATGAGCTTGGCGTAGTGGCACATGCAATGCTAGCACTTGTGAAAGGAGACAGGGGAATTAGGAGAACAAGGCCAGCCTTAACTCCACAATGTGTTCAGGTTACATGTTTTGGCTACTGGGATACTTACATAAAAGCCCGAGTCTAAAATCACACTCATCAAAAACAAACAAACAAACAAAAAACCTGGGCATTCTGGGAACATGCTCATGACCGAGGACAGAAGGGGAGGGCACGGGGCCCTCTGCAATAATGTCGAGTGGGTACCTGTCCTTCAAAAGAGACATACTTTGCTTGACAACCAAACATGTCTGTCTTTCACTTCACGTTACATTCATTCATAAAACAAAGCTCAAAATACAAAAATCTCCTGACAACTTGGAGGAAACACACACTGTTGAACAAATGAATGATGTCCCTGGCCTTTACATAGATAGATAATTAAGGAAAAATTAAGTCAAAACTCCAGGCAGCAGTTCATCCTACTTATTCTCCTTGCTGACTATATGAACCTGATAGATAACCACGGTCATTTTCCTAAGACTTGGTTTATGCCTACATAAAATGGGGTGAGGACTACCTATCTTGAGGGACTATTGAGAGGATGAAAGATAACATTTAAAAAATGACCCATTTTATATGGCCCATAAGTTTTGTTGTTTACAATATTACAGCTTTCTCTTTGTGCCCAATAGTCCAATTCTTTTCTTGGTAGTAGAATCATTATGGTATATCTCACTCTGGTGAGACTTCCAGATCACTTGAGGTAACAACTCCCCAGAGAATATAAGCTCTAGTCATGAATTCTCCGCAACTGTTTAGAGGAACAACAAGTTACAGTCCCAAATGGTTATAAACATTGTTTGTCTGGAGTATTCAAAGTATTAGTTGTTTTTTTTTGGGGGGCGTATATAAGGAGAGGCAGTATTTTTATACCACATTTTAAAAAAATATATCATGAAAGGCCATCAAAAGGGAATTTAAAAATTCTGACTTTTATTTGAAGATGTTCTTCAATAAAAATGTAACCCATTTCAGCATTTAATGTCATTTCCAATCCCTATGCATCTAGGAGAATTTGGTTCTGAATCCTGACTACAGTGCTGTCTAGTTACCCATGAACATGTATAGCATTGGTTTCCAGTGTCATCTGCTGGTTGTGCTATGAAATTACCACAAATACCCGTGTAAACAGTTCCTAAAGGAAAGTTCTATGCCTGTGATTGAATGTCACAGGAAGAGTTATACCTTATAATTGGATTAGGCATCAGATGTGAAGATGAAATTATGTCATATGACTCTATTTGAAATCGAATCAGAGCTGTACCCTTGTTCTATCATTATTATGCTGAATACAATAAGAGAATCCAGCATGTTCTCTTCCTTTGTCGAAAATTTAATAGAGCTACAGAATGGGTGATAGAGAAGCATTATGATCTAAAGCCAGCATCGTGAGGGATAGTACAGTCATTTAGATGTTGGCCCTGTGCAATGAAAACTCTATTAACTGGCCTGGAGTTATTATTTTTACATTCATGAGGACCAATCACCATGGAGAATATTTACTTCTATTCATCTTATTCATAAACCTAGAAGAAACATTTCACTGTTATTTTTTTAAATACAGTAAACTGTATCTCTAAGATTCTGTATTGGAGAATGTTTTACTAAATTTACAAAATAAACTCCCAGGACTTGAGAGGAAGAGGACTTGGAGTGCTGTACGTTGAAGGCCAGATGGTCTATATAAACTCGTTCCAGGCCAGACCCAGTCTTCCTAAAACTAATTAAACAAACAAACAAACAAATCTACTATTTCAGAGGCTTTTGAAGATCAGGGAAGGTTTCCCTTACCTCGGGCTGTCTCTAAGCCCCAAAGAGGATCTGAGCATACACAGGCACTGACTCACCTGAGGTAACCGACTCTGTGATGTTCAGGTTGTTGAGCGAAAGCCCTAAGGACTGGCGAGAGGAAGAGGAAGACGCTGTGCTTGAGGACTCTGATGGAGGCCGAGCAGGTTTAACTGTGTTACCGGTCTCCGCCTTCAACCGGTCATTTTCAGCTTTCAATATTTCAATTTCATTCTGTTGTGAAGATGTAAAAGGGGGGGGGGAGAGTTTGAGAAAATGGCACACAATTTGTATCAGACTTCATCTGTATGCTGGTTTAAACACCACGGTTAGACGTCAAACATAAATTATGAAAACAGGATTTTATTTCAAAGAAGAAAAGAGAACCCTTTCTCCATTACACACTTGAGTTGCTACATTCTCCAATTCATACATAATTACTAAGGTCATTATTTGGGTACTGAGGAGTAAACAAGGGACTCACATACAAGAGGCAAATGTTCAATACTAAGCTATATGTTTCATCCTATTGCTAAAACACACTTTAAAAGTAAGTTTTAAAATTAAGCATACAGCCCAATATTTGAGTGACTGCCTTTTATAAGGCCCTAAATCCAGTTCTTGGTATGGCAAAAAAAAAAAAAAAAAAAAAAAAAAAAAAAAGGCTGAAGCATCCTGTATATACCATTAACCCAAGTTCTTAGTGGGGCAAACTGAGGATAGAAACAGGGAGATCACTGATGCTTGCCGATTTCTAGGCTAGCCATAAGTTGAGAGACTGATTCTGCCTCAGTGGAGTATGCAAAGATTGATAGAGGGGACCAGAGAGGTAAACACTTGACCTTCCCACAGACCTATCTGCATATACAGATAAACACACATGTACTCATACATTCACAAAGACAAACACAAATAAATTAAATCTTAAAAGAATGTAACTGGATGCTTCCTAGTATTTTCCTTAAGTTTTAGAAACAATTCAGTTATGTATATATGTGTTTGTACATGTGCAGGTTTATGCTTGTGAGTGCAATGCATCCACAATCCCACAGAGGATGTCAGATTCCCTGGAAGTGGCCTTTCGGGAGTTTGTGAGCGAGAACACTTGGGTGCTGGTTGCTGAACTGAGGTCCTCTGGAAGAACCAGGCAAAGCAAAGGTGATTCAAGCTCCTTCTGCATCTCAGCTAACAAATGGGAGAGGTTTTGTTTTGCCGAACAGGGCACCACACTCATACAAACTACAGAAACCTGTCTGTTCGTCTCAACAGCAGTAGATAAACTGCTTAGCCTTTGCTTTTCTTATTTGCAGAGTCTGAAGAAGCAAGTCATCATTGTTTTACAAGGGTGAAACGGAAGGAGCCAGGGCACAGACCCTTTCTGAACTCAGACTAAAGATACATCCAAAAGTGCAGAGGCTTTGCTATTGAAGACAGCATTCAAAATCACCTAAAGCTGGTGATGAATGTCCCTGGTATTCCTCATTATTTTTGCTTTTCAATAGAAAATGGGTAGAAGTCAGATTTCAAAAGAACATCTTGTAAGAGCCAACACAAAGGTAACTCATAGCAAAGTAAAGAAGAAAAATCATAGTAGTTTCTTAAAACTCAGCTCCCTGCCTGAATCCTCCATTCACTTGTACGTGTGTCTTGAATTGCCCTATTTGCCAGTTTGCCCTCCCGCTGCCAGCCAGGATTTGAGCAAATCCCCCATTTGTTATTAACAACTGAGTTTCGAAGACTGAAAAAAAAAAAAAAATAGACCGTGTTTCCATGGCAGCTTTAAAAGTAGAATTTGTTATCTAACGGCTATGAGAAGAGAAAAGGCTGGCTGTCTATCTTTCCATTTTATTCCTTGAAGGAGGATGCACAGACCTGCATCCGGTTCATGGCTTCCCGGATCTGATCAAGGTGATGGGCTGAGCTGAGGGCCTCCAGCCTTATATCCGTTAATTTTAATTCCTTTTCTCTGAGCTCGCTCTTCAGCTGCAGAATGATCTCTGCCTCAGCCTCCGTGCATTCACAGATCCTAAAGGAAAACGAAACACAGGACAGGTCGTCAGGGGAAGCGGGAGGACTGGCCAAAGGAATGAGTCTTCTATAGGCTGAACTTCAGTAATATCCAGGAGGTGTAGCAATTCTTTGCTGCGCAAAACCTACAGCAAAGGAGAGTTTTTACCAGCACTCATTCGCGGGTTCCAAACTGAAAACAGCTATTCTTTTTGTTCTGTTTTCTGAAGTTTAAAGACAGTCTGGTATTATGGGATAAAAAGCGATCCTCAGAACTCCCTGAAGGCAGACGCAGAAAGGGGAAGCCATTGTGACATTTCATCCGGTATTTGTCAGGGGGCTTAGCCCTCCGTTTGTAACATGAAATTCTCCCTTTTAAAAGCCAAATCATTATATTCTCAAAATGTTGATTTCTCTTTTTATAAAACCATGCAAACAATATAACCTTATTTGCCTCCACGCTGTCATTCAGCATCCATGAAAATCCAATATAAATATTGTAGAAAGTAAATTACAGAGATTAGTTTTGGACATTTAAATAATGGATGAGTGTTACATAAACTTCCTGTTGGACTCTGAAGACTTAGGAGATCAGAGCTAATGAGGCTAAGCCACCAATTTCAACCCACTCCAGCAAGCTAGCTGGAAACTATCTGAAGGTCATATCCAATATATCCATATTGTTTTGTTGGGGTTTTATGGATAGCTTTGTTAGAGACAACCTGTCAAGAGATTCCTTGTATTAACTAATAACTTCCCCATTTCAAATCTGAAGGCTTCGATAGTTGATCACAAAAATTTTCCTTCTATCAGTGATGAAATTAGGTAGTCAAAGCATAGTGGTACTATTTTCTTTCCAGTTCTACAACAGTTACTGTCACTGAGCATACAAGAAAATTCACACTAAATACTTTATAAGACACATGGAATTATCTCATCAATTACATTTTACATGCTGTTTTTTTTTTTCTTCTTCTTCTACTATCAAAATTTGCCTACTATAGAAATGTCATGTTACCTAATGCAACCGAAGTTAAATGGAGTTTGGGTTGGTTTGGGAAACTAATGTTTAGTTGAAAGACAAGGGACTACGTGAGGCTGTAACACATGCAGATGATTTTAGAAAAGGAGAAAAAAAAATCCATGGCTACGTTAGAACCTGTGCCTTTACAGTTCATGCAACACGCTCTTTTACCGGGATCTATGCTTGTAGATCACAGGGCCATTTTTTCGTTTCTTGGGTGGCCAGACAAGGGGTGACCTGCACATATGCACAGTTAGACAGACAATGGATAAATGCAAGTAGAGAGAAAAAAAGAGAGAATGATTTAGAAGAGTGTAGCATGAGATTGAGAAACACCAAATACTAATAGAAAATATAAGAGAAACAGATACTGTCCTTCATTTCCCAGCAAGAATTGAAATGATTGACAGAAACAGATGCTGTGTTTGTGAGAGTGCATTTATGACATAGTCTCGGGCCTGGGCTGAAGTCAGCTTTGAAAAGGAGGTCAAACTGCTACAAAGGGAGTGACTTACGCTGAAGCTGACTGGGAGGGCTTCATGGATGTGGAACCACAGTCACCAGCATTGTGGGGTAGCTTGGGCGATGCTGGCAGAGAGGAATCTGTCAGCTCTTCAATGTCCGAATGTGAGGAAGGTGGCTTGGTGGACTTTTTCTTCCCAAAGGCTTGTTTGAAAGAGCTTCTCAGCTGCAAGAAGACAGATGTTACACGTTTGTCCATCCATCTGACCTCGGAGGGATTGGCTGTGGGGCGTTAGTTTGCAGGTGCCATCCTAGCCACTGCCTGGGGTCAGTATATGTAAGCAGAATATTAACAATGGCAGCACAGTACCCTAAGACATCAGTACTGTGCTCGGTGTCTCCCTTTTGTTCTTGTATTAATCCAGCATAGCGCAAACATGGAGGGCTTTCAGATAGTGCGAGGTCAAGGGCATGGCTGTCAGAGCACTCATTTAAAACTAAGTACCTTGAAGGGATCTCTGTTCCCAAGACTTCTCTCTTCAAGGCAATTTGTTTTAAATGGCCACTTTAGCGCTACAATCAAGTCATATCCTGCTGACAGTACAAACTTAAAAAGCAAAATGAAATCAAATTCACCTAACACTTCATTAATTGTGATTTTTCCCCCTATTCAAATTCCCAATTCCAAGACTACTCAAAACCAGAATTGGTATCCCCTACAGCTCTATTTGGAAAGTGGTTTTACTTCTCTTGAAAATTTGAGATTAAAATGAAAAGGCACAAAGAAAAGACATACAAGGTATTCTGTTTTAAAAAGGTATAAAAGCCTGCTGCCAAACTGAATAGCGTTCATGCCAAGGTAGGGTGTTTTGTATAGATGCATGCCAAATGTCCACAGTTTATATTCACCTCACTTCCTCTAGAGTTCACCTTGCAGAAACATGAAAGAGTGTGGAATTACAAATCAAGGGAATGAAGGCTGATCAGTATTTTAAATTATTACCTGCATAAACATTTTTTGAAACAAAAATATATTTGTTTTCATTATTTACAGAAAAGCACCAGTGAAATTCTCAACTAGTTTTGAGTATCCTCAAAAAGTTATTTTTATGTGAAGGTTGACTTTTGTCTTGAGGTGTTGATAGAAATTCTGTTCTTCACTGTCCCACTATTTTTTGCTGATTAATATTGTCACAAATGATGTTAAGACTTCTCTAGTAAATCTATGCATAGTTCTTTTGAAGTTCATTGTTATATTTCTACTATAGTCCATTTTTGTATTCCTACAACGTTCTATTGGATATATACACATATGCCAATAGAAACTAATGCACTTGATTCCTTATGGGCTGGTGCTTTCTCTACTGGACATTCTGTAGAATCTGGGGGTTTGGGAGGATTTAGGTTTCAAGGGTTCTCTTTTCTCTCATCCTCCACTATTCCCACCATCCTCATCCCAATCCCAATCTTCCCCCTCCTCTCCATCATGCTTACAAAGCCCTGCTCTTACTCTCAGCCCTAGCTCCAGCATGTGTGTCCTTCAGCAACGTGTCTGCCTAACATTAGGAGAAGTCCAGAAGTTGAGAACTTGATCCCTGAATGGGGCTCTGTCAATTGCTGGAGATTTCTAATCCCCCACCTCCTACTCCCCAAAGGAGAAAGCTAAGTCACTGAGTTGTCATCACAAGTCTGAATTTGACAAGAGGGGATATCTTACCCAGTTCTTCTTCTTCTTTTTCTTGGAGTCAGCATCATTACCACTGCCAATGCTGGAGTGGCTCGTGGCGCTGTTGATACTAGAAACACTCTCGGAGGAATGCTGCCTTCTGATGCGGAGATCTAGCAACAGACAGAGGGTATCAGGTTCACTCCCTGGCTCAGTCTGAAGACACAGGTGTAGCTTAAAAACCAAGCAAGCCTTTCTACAGCTTACTGCAGTGCAGGTTTGGTCCACTGCATTTAATAAAAGTATAACCATATTTGTTATAATTAGCTGAGTTGTGGCCATGAAGAGTCAACGGGAATCCCACATGGGCCTATGGCACCAGTAGTTTGAAGAGTTTGAGTTCAGTCCAAACCCGAGTGGCTCAGCTTGTGATTTTTTACCAATATGTAAACTAGAAAGCCCTTCCAAAATGATTTGTTTCTAATGATAAGTTCCATGGAGCAAATGGAAATTTGTAAGATGTTAAAAATGAATTCTTTCTTTTTAGTATTTCTGCTATGAATAAAGTTACCAAGGGCAAATTCATTAACTTTCCATTTCATGGAATCGTACCAGACTAGTGCTGGAACAATCCTAGCAAGTCATGCTATCGAACACTTCATTTCATAGCTGAGGGGCACAGACACGGACTGCAAAGAAGTTAAAGTAACTTGACCAAGGTTAAAGAAGGGGCAAGGAAAAACATCCAAGTGATGCCTGATTAGAGAAAATTACCCCCAAATGTGTGTGTGTGTGTCTTGAATTCCTGTGCAAGAGAGAGCTGAAGTAGGCTATTTGCAAATTAAACAGATAATAACTTTAATACAGCACAATTCTTACAAACATATCTCTGGTCCCCCAAACCAACACAGAATAGTAGTATCAAAAGCCGTACCACATTCTAATGTACTTAATTTTATTGTTACAGCAATGAAATGTGTTTAATCACTAAATATAATTTGCATATCGTTGCACATCTGAAAAATCATGGTATGACCATTGGTGCCACATGAATCGTGATATCTATTGCATGGCTGTGGTATGTATTTCAACTTAGAGAAGATACTGGGAAGAGAACAGCATTCAGTGTTTTATAATTCCTAATAATTAGCTTATAGCAATTAGAGAAATTATAATTAAAACTTAAATTGAAATTTTATATATTTGCAACAATCTGACATTGTCAGTGGGACACTGAAAAATTTTATAAAGTAAAATTGTTTTTAGGATATTACTTGTATATTTAATTTGCATCAATATAGACTGGCCTAACAAACGAATACTTCCATGGAACTTGTAGGATATAAAAAATTGTAGCATTTAAAAAATTTCTTTTCTGAAGGGAAACAAGGGAGGACTGCATTCTGGGAAGGGTTGACTGGGAGGGGAAACTACAGTTGGGATGTACTGAGGAAAAAACAAAAAACAAAAAAACAAAACAAAACAAAAAACAAAAAAAAAGAGAAATTGAAACTAAAGTATGATTCATCTATCAATTTAGTAAAGAGTAAGAATAATGGGTGTTAGTGAACTATAAATTATTATTTGAAAGAATAGTGGAAGCAAGTGTACACCTAAAGAGGATACATATGAGAAATTAAATATAATCTTCATCATCTTCATAGTCATAGACATACAACCAATACTTTAGGACCTAACTTATTACCCACCCCGTACTTCCAAGCAAAGAAATCCCTGCATTTGAATTCTAACAGATACAGTAAGCTACCTGTTGCCTGAGATAAAAGGAATCCATCCACAAAGTTTCACTTCAGTGACTTGTGTTGTATGAAGGAAGGGATTAAGCCATTTTAAAGCCCTTCTGGACCTATTTATGACAGGAAGATTTAGACCATAAGCTGCTTTATTACCGCTCCGAGATAAGCCTTAAATATGCAGTAATTTTCCATGCAGCATAGAAATCAACTTCCCCTTTGTGTACTTTTTTTTTTTTTTTTTTGTTTTTTTTTTGTAAAACTTAAAATCAACTATATAATTTTTGGTTTTGTTACTCCTTTCTGTAAACACTGGACAAAGCCTGCTTGCTTGTGGTGGTTTGAAAAGAAACGGCCCCCATACACTCATGTCTTTGAATGCTTGGTCCACAGGGAGTGAGACTATTAGGAAGTGTGGCCTTGCCGGAGGGGGTGTGATCCTGATGAGGGAGTGTGTCACTGGTGGGCGGCTCATAAGCTCAAGGCAGGCCTAGAGGCTCAGGCTCTCTCCCAGCGGCCTCTGAATCCAGAGGGAGAAGTCTTAGTTCTGTCTCCAGCACCATGTCTGCCTGTATGCCACCGCGCTTCCCACAATGACAATGGACAAAACCTCTAAACTGTCAGGAATTAGCTCACAGTTACTGCTCCACAGTAATAGTTCCATAGTAACTACTATAGTTCCCATGAATTGGACGGGAACGTTTCTCACAGAAACTAGAACTAGAACTATCATGTGACCCAGCTATACCACACCTAGGTATATACCGGAAGGATTCCAACTCATCATACCCTAGAGACATTCTCACAGCCATGTTTATGTGGCACTATCCTGACAACCTAGTTAAGGAGCTAGCCTAGATGCTCACCAACAGATAATAGGTAAAGACATTCTGGCACATTTGAATAATGGGATTTTATATAGCTGCCAAAACAACAAAATCATTACACCTGCAGGAAAGTGGATGGGACTGGAGATTGTTCTGGCAAAAGATAATAAACCAAACAGGATGGTTGAAGAGAAGACACATTAATAGAACACACAGATCATGAAAGCAGAAGACAGAACAGTTTTCAGGAAGGTAGGAGACAAGAAAGAGGGAGAGAAGGATGGCAGAAGAAGAGAGTGTATGAGGGAAGCAAGAAAAAACAAAGTCACACACACACAAACACACACACACACGAAATGTCATGATATTAAAAATATGCTCCATAAGAACAATGTATGACAGCATGGATATTAGCAAAAGGTAAGCATTTCAAATGCAAGGGTTTGGCCATCAATAGTAGAATTTATCTTCCTTCCTAATAAAAGAAATGGAAATGTTTAATGAGTTAAGTATTAAATATGTCACTACTAGTCCTTGACAAAGTAGTTTTGGTGGAAGGGTGGGAACAGGGGTTGTCATCCAGTGCCGTTGAAGAGTCATTATTCACTTAAGATGCTGAAAGAGTACAAAACCATTTTCCAGAACGTATCTGGTACTGAGAATAGAGGTGATAAGACATCCAAGATTCAGGATAGGGTTTTATATTGAAGGAAGAATGGATGTTCTTGAACCTGCTGATGTCAGGACATAAATAAGCAGAAAATATGTAAAGACATTAGGACTTGAAAAAACAATGAGCAATTCTTCATTGGCATTCCAAGGCATGGGGATGGGGGGGGGGCAAAGGATCACATAAGCATGGTAATGATACACTTCTATCTGGCTCCTGGTTATGTCAAAACTCTGGCTACAGGAAATGCTCCTTCTCACTGACCCTACCCATAAGACCTTGTTCCTAGCGTATGTTGGATCTTGATTAGCCTATTCATCACTGGGCTTGATTTGTTTGCAGTCAGACCTATTAACCAACTCTCAACCTACTAGTTTCAATCTACTAGTTCATGTAGAAAAAGATGTGTGTATGATTGGATATAAGTTCAGAACTTAAAAACCACTTGATAATGAAAGCCGATGCTCACAAAGGTTGAAATTCTAAAGAAATTGACTCACTATAAAAGGTAGCAGCATTGAGTAAGTAAAACTTCAACTGTAGCTAATGCATAAAACTAATGCTTGCTGTCTGGGATGACACACGGCACAATTTTAAGTATACCTTTGGGAGGGTGGTCTGGGCCATTCAGCGCGCCCTGAATGGCCGCCTGGGCAGCAGAGTTCTGGGCTTTCAACATTTCAATGGTTTCCCGTAGTTCTATGAGTTCAGATTCCTGGGGAATGAGCAGAAATTCAAAGCTTAATGTCTAGAAAAAATAAAATATCGTTCACAGTTTACTGTCAAATGATGTTATGTAGCTCTAAACTGCTGAAGGAGCTGGGTCTGCAATACCTGGAAATGACCTGGGAAATTAGAATAGATTCATAATCGGTACCTCATATTTGCTTCCCCTCTCTCTTTTCCTCTTTTTCTGAGAAAATGTTTCACTCTGTTGCTTGGGCAACAGTACAATGCCTCAGCCTCCCCAGAGCTGGGGTTACAGGCTTGTGTACCATATTATATTTTATACATCTATTTGCTTGAGTATCTCACATACTCATAATAGATACTGGTTAGATTTTAAAATAAATGCGTGTGGACTTTAAACAGTTTATAAATAAAAAACATAATGAAAATTAGAAGAAAATTACTAAATTCATACATAGGATTTCAAATACTTCACTGTAACCTTTCATCTCTCACAAAGGAAACATCACGCTCTAGACAATTTGCAGCCCAGTTCATCTTAACAACTTAGTCTCCCCAACTCCTACACTGTGCCTTGCCTGGTTACTACAAGCAATTTTACTAAAACTTAATGTTTCCACTTGAAACCCTTGAGAGATAAAGCATTTACTGGAAATAGATTCACATAATTTTAAAATTAATTTTATAACCAGTGCTTAGGTGAGTGTTAAATTTTAATTAAAGTCAGACTTTCATCTTTGTATTTGGAACCAATGATGCTTATGCTACAGATTTAAGAATCAGCTAAAATATTTGACTCTGGCTTTTGACGAAGAATAAGATTTTATGCAAATGTCTAATAATTGAGCTTAATTTTGAGTTATTTAAGTGTCAAAGCTTTAGTCTCTTCTAAAGAAGTCTATTTCATGACTTTTTTGTTTTTTTTGGTTTTGGAGCTAGGGTTTCTCTATGTAGCCCTGGCTGCCTTGGAACTAGCTCTATAGATTAGGCTGGTCTTGAACTCACAGAGATGTCCCTGCCTCTGTCTCCAGAGTGCCAGGATTATAGGTGTGTACCACTACACTTATTGTTTTTCTATAAACTTTTAAAAGTGGAATACTCACAGAATATTTCCTTTTATTACATTGTGTTTAGAACAATGATCACTTTGTAAAATTAAGGTTCACTTTGAAAATGGCAGTTATCTGTAATTAGTTTTTATTTGTGGTGGTTTAATAAAACTAAGCAAAGAATAACCAGGATAATAAGAAATTAAGAAATATATTTACTGTATGATTTTTGAAAAATCCTGTTAAAAAAAACAAACAAACTAGCTCTTCTGAATTCATATTGGTATTTCTTTAGGGGAGCTTTCTAAGCATACATAACTGACCATATTATATTCTGTAAGACTTTACTTAAACTGATAGCTAAACTCCATTATGAATTGATAAAATCTGTTCAAACCCATACTTCTTATTGCCTACATCTGTAAAAAGTTCTGTTAATGAGATCTACTCTCATTTTGTCATACAAGATACAACTATGACCTTTCTGAGAATTTCATATGGTTTTTACCTTTTGACAAATATTCTTTCCCTTACAGTCCAAAATGAAATACTCCTATGTTTGTGAACTCTTTTCCTATCAGAAAAATAAAATAAAAGAGGTCCCTTTTATATCAGTGACTTTAATATCTTATTTTATTGCTGAGAGATCATTCTTTTTTTTTATTGATTTATAACTCAGTAAATGCTGGAGTGGTTTTATAAAAAGTTCTGGTTTACAACTCAATAGACATATTTCTTCTCTGAAGAATAATACTTCAAATTTACTGCTAACATCTTTAGTATTTATAATACTAAACTTATATAGTAGGATGTATTTCAACTAGAGATCATGGATGCTATAAGAAAACATCAAAACCTTCACAGCCTATTACAAATAGAAAGTCTCAGCATGGTTAATAAATAGAACTGTCTTCATTGGGTAGTAAGGAAGTCACAATTCCTTTCTTTCTTCCTTGGTAGCAGATTAGAAATGAATATAAAGCTTTTAAAATATTGTACTAGGTTATAGAAAATTTCCAATATTTTTCTAGTCTTCCTTGCTTTGTATCATTAGAGTTGGTTGTTTATATTGATTTTCATATTATATTTTTCTACGATTTCTGTAATGCATTGAAACTACAATGCTGCCTCAAAACACATACATATACCCCACCCTCCTGCTTGTTTTTGCTTGCATCCTGGTAAAAGTTTAGATAAGTAGTATGTATTATCTGTTAAGAATTACAGAGATAGACAACTACAAAATCATAAGAGAATCTGAAATGTCTTCAGATCATCTCTATTTGGTTGTGGCCAACAGAAACAAACAAACAAAACAAAAAACTTAAGTTCAGAGAGTCACTCTTAAGACTTTATGGAAATACTCAAGAATATTTATGTCATATAAATAACTGTTTAGTCTATTATGCAATACAGTCATTCAGACTTCCACTCTGAAACGTAAGAGAAAACACATTTAACTAATTCCACAAGGACCCTTGAGAATTAAGACGCTGGATCTTATTTTGTGGTCTTCCCCCAACTGCTGCAATAAATTCAAGATAACATTGCTGTGGCTTCTGTATGTCATGTTAAAGTACACTTTTATGTGTTTTCTGATGTTATTGTGTAAAACCATTTGGATGAATTTCGTATCACTGTGGACAGTTGTCATGTTTCTTTTAGGCTAACCAAGTTATGCAGGTCACACTTGAAATGCTTCAAAAACAAAGTAATCAAGTACCTCCTTGATACTAGCCTTTGGTGTTCTTCTCAACTCAGTTTCCTAGTTGTACTTGACATCTTTCAAAACTTCCCATTAATGAAATTCCACTAAAATCTCTACAAGCTTGACAATAAATTTTGTGAAACAACTGAACTTTCTTGGCATGGTTGTTAAATTTTACACTAAATCTGTCTTTACTTCTTAACAATGCCACTCAGTTAATCTCACAGTTTAGTTGTGGTTTTCTTGAAAACATTCTTCTCTCCTAAGCCTCTATGCTTGCCTTGAGATCTTGCTTTTTTTTTTTTCTTGCTGAAGGACCCTTCAATGTTTACTGTATCTAAATTCAGATAAAAGGACTTTATTAAATCTTAGTAATTTTAAAGTTAAAGTTTCATATTCATCATCTTATGCTGAAAACATTAATAATAATATTGTCTGATTCTAGAGATAAGGCTCTTTTTTTATAAATACTTCTAGATGGAAAATGTCTAAACATAAAATATGTAAAGACAAAGCTGACGAGGTTTTAGCTATATATGCTACATATAAACATTTGGCATTACATGTCTTCATTTTCAAGTCCATGTTCATCTCTATACCCTTTATAGAGTTAAGAATGGCTTTATAGTTAGCATAGTGGTTTGTGAATAAAATTTACCATTCTTAGAAGATAGTTCTCTAGACTTCGGTGACCTCCTAACAAGAAATCTAGCACACCTTAATACTCATGTTCCAATTGCCTGAACTCTGTGTCTGTAGGCAACTAGTGCAACTAGTGTGACCACCTCTTGAATTTTAAATCCCACATGTTAGCATGTATTACATTAGCGAATTCAAACAAGATTTTACAGTTCTATTAAAATTTCACATGTCAAGCTGTGTATTTGCACGATTTTTTTGCCATCTTAATGATTTGCATCACAGTCTTTCCAATTGATATTTTGTGAGAAAATTAAGCCTCATACAATGCCTTGGTGGCACCTTGTATCATTCTTTTGGCTACTCACACTTAGGCTGTTTTGTCTTCACGAAATACCATCTAGTATTTCCCCTGAACAAATCTTCTTCATTCCTGCTAACCGGAGGAGCTAGGATGGCCTGGTTCCCTTTGAAAATGCTCACAGCCTTGCAGGGCTCTGTCTCTAACGGATCCATCATTTTCTGCTTCCTGAGTTATTCATACATATCTTTTCTGCTTTCTGGACTATAAGTATATAACATCAGTACTCTGGCAAAAACATTTGGCAAAACAATCAGAGTTGCTTGTAATCTGGAAGCCAGAAAAATTATTAGGGTACTATTCAAGGGAGTTATTTTGGTGAATAAATTGAAATAACACTTCCATGTACTTTTAATGCCATGTGATGTTTAAAAGTACCCTGTGAACTAGTTTGTTCAGTGGAGTTTAATACTATGTGGACTGTTATGTTTTCCTTATATTCTTTTATCATCATCTGTTACATATCAGAATAAAAATTCCAGGTAGGATATATGCGCTTATAAGAACACACATTCATGATGACTGTTAAAATAAATTTGAATCATACATTTACATGGACATTTTTATATATGTGTATTTCATACAAAAAGAATGAAAACTTAAGAAAATTCCTATTGATGACCTAACTTATTCTACTTTGTGGAAACTATACATATTCTTTCAGAGTTTTTATTTCCAGCAGAGACCTATATCTGTAGATGCAAAGAGGGATAGGCAAATAATCAATCTACTATTTTTTAATCCCTATTATTCATTTCTTAACCCATAGACCCTAAATATAAACTTGTTGAAAAACTAAATGAACAAATGAACCTTGGATTTCTAGGGACTGAGTTTAAAAACACAGCTCTATATTATTGTTACTTTTTCTTAGGATTGTTGGATCACCAGAGAGCAATATACCCTTTTTTATCTTAGTTCCCCAAAGAAATGCCTTTCCTGAAATATGATTAAATGTTATGACCTCAGCTTTTAGAAAAATGTCTAAGTGAGCAATGTGTTTTGTCTTCTGTTATTCCATGACCCCAATTTAAGAACTCTTGAGATACATTTATCCTTAAATCTGGGACCGAGATGTTAGTCTGTTCAATCTAAATTAAACTCTTCTGGTCAGACAATGAGAACAAAACCCACCAAGAAATCTCCCTGTGTTCCTCAGCTTCCCTGAAAGCTGGTACAATTCTGGGCTTTGTGGCTGAGCCATATGGTTTATATACCGAGCCCTATACATTCATCTGCTGGGTAGAATCAGTTTCTGTTACTGAATTGTGCCATGCTACAAATCACTGTATAGATTTCTTCAAAGTAAGTTGTGAATTCACAAACTTGTGGTGCATAAGGAGTTGCCAAGATTCGTGTCTCTGTACAGTTCTGAAGCAAAGAGGAACTATTTCATGTTTAATTAAAGGGGTCAGGGAAATTTCAAACACAGTATTTCAATAATTTTGGTGATGTTATATTAAATATACTATGTATATATCAATTATTTATAGATTATCCTCAGATATTGTAAGTTAATATACTTGTGTATCTTACATAATTCTATTGGAAAATTTACTTGCATACAGACAAAAGAGTTAAAGGAAATATAAAGGCATTGTCAACAGTCACTATCGAATTTGATTTCTTCAAGACATCATAATGAATGCTAACCATCATTTCTAGTAATATACCCAACATAAGCCAGGTATGAATTAGTTTACATTCTTTCTTTTTTCACCTTTGTGCATGTGTTTGTGCATGGTGTCCATGCCTGTGCACCTGTGTGTGTGTGTGTGTGTGTGTGTGTGTGTATGTATGTATGTATGCGTGTATACATGCATGGGTGGACTTTGAGGTTGACATTGGTTATTTTCCTAGATTGTTCTTTACCTTATGTATTTCAGGTCTCTTGATGAACCTGAATCTAGTCTGTCAAGCAAGCTGGTTGTTGGTAATGCCTGTGTCTACACAACCAACCTGCCCCCCACACACCATAGGATTTTAAGTAGACCCTCATACCCATTTGGCTTTCACACTGGGTACTGGGAGGTCCTTACTCTAGATCTCACACTTCCCTGGAAAAAAAGTTTACCCAACAAACTCCCAAGTCCCTATAGGGTTTTTATAAAGAAAAAAGAAAAAAAAAAAGAGAAATGTGTGGGAAGTTAAAATTTCTGGATTGCCCCAATGCATGTGATGTAATCATAATATCTTGCTTGTTTTTCATGTTTGTCTTACAAGGTGCTTATTTGTTATTATTGTGACTTTCAGAGGTATCAATGGTTTAAAGGAATAGTCCAACTGTTAAACCAGTCAAATGAAGTTAAGCTCTCTCAAGATTAGATAATTCTTTTTTGTTTTGTTTTTGAAGACAGGGCTTTCCTCTGTAACACCCTGGCTGTTCTGGAACTCACTCTGTAGACCAGGCTGGCCTTGAACTCGCAGATGTCCACTTGCCTTTGCCTCTTGAGTTCTGGGATTAAAGGTGTGGGCCACCACTGCTCAGCTAAGATTAGGTAATTCTTAAAACACACAACCCGAATTCATGCTCCAGGTTTCCTGTTCCAATGTCATTAGATATTCTTTCCTGCTTTGCTACTTAAAGGGTCTTAGAATCCTGTTTGCTGGGTCCTTATGCTACATAGTCAAGTAGCATTCCCTAACAAAGAAGGAAAAGATAAAGGAGGGAAGGAAAGAAAGGGAAGAAGGGAAGAAAGAGAGGAGAGAAGGAGATGAGGCAGGAAAGGGAGGATGGCAGTAGGAGAGAAGAGAAGGGGAAAGTTTAAGAACTCACAGAGGTTTGTTAAACACCCTTCTACTGGGGTTGATGAAATCGGACACCATACTGTCATAGACAGAAATTTAGGATCTAGAATAAACTAGAGGACACTTTACTGGTTGTATTAGGAAATTATACAAGGTCATTAGATTATCCCCCTTTTTATTTGACTGCTCATGTACTTTCTAAAAAAGTTTATATACTTATAAAAGTTGGGGGTCCATGAGCTCCCCCTTGTTCAGGTCAGTGTCTCTGTGGGTTTCTGTAGCCTGATCTTGACATCATTTCCTTATCATTCCTCCCTCTCTGCAACGGGATTCCAGGAGTTGGGCTCACTGTTTAGCTGTGGGTGTCTGCTTCTGTTTCCATCAGCTACTGGATGAGGACCCCCAGACTGATAGCTGGGAAACCAGCATTGGTCCGACTCAGGCCCCATGAACATGGGTCTCAGTTAGAAAGGCCTGGGCAGTCTAAGGGACCTCTGACAGTAGAACCAGGATGTATCCCTGGTGCATGAAAGGACTTTGGGAGCACATTCCCCATGGAGGGATATTCCCTTAGCCTAGAGGCAGGAGAGAGGACCTAGTCCCTATTCCAAATGGCTTGACAGATTTTGTTGATCCCTCCTGGAAGGTACCACCCTTCCTGTGGAATGGGGGGCAGTGGGATGGGAGGGGGCGGGGGCATGGAAGGGAGAGGGAGGGAACTGGGATTGATATGTAAAATAAGAAAAATTTTATATATATATATATGTGTGTGTGTGTGTGTGTGTGTGTGTGTGTGTGTGTGTGTGTGTGTTGGTAATGCAACAAAACCTTATGATAACTAAAAACACAACTGAAGCTATGCCTATGGGTACACAGAGGCACAGGCTGTAGATACCCAAAACTTCTTAGGATGTAGATCTGTTTCAGAGGCACAGGCTGTAGATACCCAGAACTTCTTAGGATGTAGATCTGTTTGGGAATTAGATGAGGACAGGGACAGCTGTTCTTGCTTTGTACATATGTAGGCTTTTTAAAACGGTTCCATGAACTTTAGAGACTACCGCAGTTTCTGCCAGCAATACAAGAAGGTCAAGGAGCCTCAACTAACAGCAGGGAAGAAAACTGGTCTTCATAGGAAGTGACTAACCTCTCCCATGATAGACTGGAACATTGAAATACATTTGCATCTAAGAACTGAATTCTGTTCCTGTCTTTTTAGTATTCTTTATTCCATGCTATAAAATCCCTTGCATGTATTTTAAGTTTTTAAAGTTACTGAAGTAATGTTTCTTCAAATAAACATTAGCATCTTAGATGCCAACTATTTTTTTTTGTTTTTTGATGCAACAATGCACAGAATTGTCCCTATCATAACTGGTACATTCTGATGTCCCTTACTCTGGAATCCTAACGTCATTTCTAGGTTTCCTTCTTAATGTGTCACCATACATCCATGGCTTACTATGCATTTTTGAAAATTCTCACTTCAGGACATTTCTTGTTACCTATGTAACAGTTTGGGAATATTTGAATTCTCCGTTATGAAGCTTTCTCTTGGCATTAGGTATTCACTGACATTTAGTTCCAGTTGGAAGTCAGGAGGCAGACCTGTACGGCAGAACTTTGTGTGTGTCCTGTGTCTCTGTGTTTCGACATAGACAACTGACTGTGGCTTTCAATTGTAACTGGAAAAGAAACGGTACCATCTACTCATTGTTTTCAATGTACTGCAGAATGGATGCTCTGTCTGATATTTAGCATTCTGCAAAGTGTACTTTCTCCTTCCCAGCCTCAGTGGCAATCACTGGCCATACCTTCTGTTCTGCTGTCATGGTCAGACTCTGCAATCGGCCAGTCATATTCCCTAAACTCTTTTCAAAAGCCGCTACTAGGTGAGCCTGCAAAGAAAAGAGAAGAAAGATAGTTAAAATGTCAGAGTCTCCCGTGGCTCAGATAAAGCCCTTCGTTTTACAAAATGCTTAATTTCACCCGTTCCAGTGTTTTAAGTGCTCTGTCATGGTTATTGCTCAATGGTGACGCCCCTTTAACACATATCTTCATTCTTTATCTCCAAACCTAGGTTTCCTTAAATCAGTGTTCCAGGTTTTTGACATTTAAAGTGAGCTCGGCTTCCAAAAGGGGGTGGTATTTTTTGCAAATAACAACACCTCCTGACTTGCACATCACGCAGTGATCTGACACCCAAAATGCCGAACACATTTCCCAGCTGCCACGGTTTTAGAAAGAAAGCCCAAAAGGAGGTCAATGAAACAGTCAATGGACAAATGTTCCTCATTTCCCGACTTCCGTGATGACCTTTGAAGATATTGTTAGCGTTTCTATTGTGAGGACATTCTCCTTCAAGTGTCAGACAACTGCCGACAGCTAGAACATTATCTTTTCTCTTTTTCTACTTACAAAGGACTGAATGGGAAAGAGTTGTCTCCACTTTCAAATCTCCTGCAGTAAAAGGGCTTTCTCTCCCCCACTTTCCATTCCCCTCAGCTAAAGAATTCAAGCTAGCCCAGGCAGCAGTAATCACATGGCCAAATGTAACATTAAGCTTCGGTGGTTAGGGAATTACACATATTATAGCATGTACCAGGCACACTTGTGATTAGCAATGCCTGAGGTTACAGCAGCAAATGAGGCCATTTCCTACTGAGTGAGGTGTGAGGTGTAAACACCGAGCTTGGTGGGGTGCTTCACTCAGTCCTGTGACTTCAGGAATAATGGCAGGCACAATATCTCAAACTGATATCATTTACTGCACTCCTGAAAAGATCTAAAGATGGAGTACTTTCTAATCTCAATCTAGATCTGGGTAAAAATTTGGTCAATTTTGGCAAAAAGCTTGATTTTTTTTTCCTGAAGGAAGGGTGTGATGAGGCACTAAAACATCATTTTGTTTGCCATAAGTAGAGAAAGGATGGTGAACCTCCTATCACACAGCTAACAAAAATCCTAGTAAGAGTCAGACTCTGATGGCTTATTCCACCATTAGCACCAGTGCCTTGGCTCATCGCTTGGCTCTTACTGAAACTGCCCTAGGGAGAAAAACAATTTGTAGAGACTACTGCTCAATTTCAACACTCCCTGAACACTTTTCATTCTCTTATTCAGTCACAGGGCCTCCCTTTCCTGGGACAACCATTAGGTCATGTCTATGTTGGCTGTTCTTTTGATACCTTTTCTATCTAAGTTTGCATCCCCAAGCACTATGTATTAATTGGTCTAATTTCACAAAGTACCAAAGTGTTACCATGACTTTTTTCTTCTTTTTAATATTACTTTTGAGATAAACCATTATCTTTGAATTTACAATATATTCGCCATGATGGCTTCCTGTATTGCTTACAATTTTATTTTTTCAATAGAATCTCACTACGCCCAAGAAAGAAGGTGCTAAATCTGAAAACTAAGGTTGTCACCAGCCCCAACAGGGAACATTCAAAAAAAAAAAAAAAAAAACAAAAATAAAAAAAAAAAAAAAAAAAAAAAAAAAAACTTCTTTGATAAAGGAAATAATCCTGAACACTGATATTTAACATCACAAAAAGTCATGAAAATATTAGGATTATAAAAAACAGGTTGTATGTATAAACAATTTTGATTATATCGTATAGTTCCAAGTGATGATAAAATGTTTAACATTAGAATATTATACTACCTATTCTTATTCAATTTGACACAAGCTAGAGTCATCTGATTTTCAGGGTGGTTGCATAGTTTACTAGATTGTGACTTTTTTTAATCAGTTTTTTTTTTACAAAATATATTTAAAATAGAGTAGAATGTATTAATATCAGCTAAAACAGAGATGCCTACTGCTAGTTAAAAACAGCTATTTTGCCATGCAGTGATGGTGCATGAATGCCTTTAATCCCAACACTCAGAGGCAGAGGCAGGCAGATCTCTGTGAGTTCTAGAATAGCTATTTCTCCTAATGGTTATGGAATTACACTATAAAAGTGCTACACACAAGGAAAGTTACTGTGATTTTTTTTTCTTTTTGTGGTTTTTCAATACACTGTTTCTCTGTATTGCTTTGGAAGCTGTCCTGGAACTAGCTCTATAGACCAGGCTGGCCTCGAACTCACAGAGATCTGCCTGCTCCTGCCTCCCAAGTGCTGGAACTAAAGGCGTGCACCACCAATGCCCCGGCACTGCGATTTTAACAGGAAGATCAAATTATATATATATATATATATATATATATATATATATATATATATATCACTAGCAGAACGACCTTTTTTGTACAGCTGCTTATGGCTTAATGCAGCTGTTTACAGAGCACATCTGTAAGGAGGGAAGGACTAATGTATGCTGTGCTATTGAACAGTGACAGAGCAAGTTTAAACATATTTATTAATGTCAAGTATCAGGATGGAACTCACAAATCACAAAAAACGAACTCACTAGGATCCAATAAAATTGCCTATAGGTTAAGAGGAAGAGAATGTTCCTTAATTGATTATTAAATGGAAAAGTACTCATCAAAATCTGTCTTTATGAAACATACCTACTACACTTTCATATACCAATCCTTCCTGTGGAGATCACACATTTAACCAAATATAATGTTTACTTACAGTCTGCATAAGTTTATAGGTAAATACTAAATGTAGCCAGTTCAGTTAATAAACTAAATGATTTTTAATAAAAGACCTGTTTTTACCTATAAATAGAAATTGTTGAAAATTAGAAAACAAACAAACAAACAAACAAACAAACAAAAAAACCTCCTGGACTGGATGTAGCCCAGGTGATAAAATGCTTGCCTGTCTATTTGGATCCAAACCAACATACAACAACAAAATCATGATCATCATGGATGATCTGGCCACGGAAGCTTCTTCCCTGAAGATACACACAATCCAATGAGTTTGTTGCTTTTATATTGATCTTTGTCATCTGGATACAAGTTCAGAAACTCGGCAGTTTAGCCGTTCTGTAGCCGGGCGGTTGTGGCACATGTTAATCTCAGCAATGGTGAGGCAGAGGCAAGCAGATCTCTGTGAGTTCAAGACCAGCCTGGTCTACAAGAGCTAGTTCCAGGACAGCCTCCAAAGCCACAAAGAAACCCTGTCTCAAAAAACCAAAACCAACCCTCCCTGGCCCCTCAAACCCCAAAACAGTAGCAACAAAACAATACTATAGATACAGTACAAAATTCACAATTGTCTGAAAACTATTCCTTTAGTAGTTAAACTTAAAGAACAGTGGATAAAGAGTCTTATTTTCTAGCACTGTTTAAAGGGAGAATTAAGTGTGTGTGTGTGTGTGTGTGTGTGTGTGTGTGTGTGTGTGTGTGCTTTTACTGCTAGGCGTTTCCTAACAACTTTTCAACTTTTATGAACATTAATAGTCTTTGTCTCAAATGACTATTATTCCTCTAGAGTTAAAACACAGCATCAATTCAGAAACGGAGCTAAAATGAATTCACTGTGAGTGAAACGACTCATTTCCTGTGGATTCATATTGCAGTGTCATTCTTCATATGCCATGCTCTGTGGAGGAGAAAGGACCTACCCTTCACGGAGGAGCAGAGAGGCAATAGTGGTGTAAGGAGGAGCTCAAACCCACTAGCAGAAAGGGCTGAGCTAAGACTACACAGGGCATATGGCAGAATAGCAGGGGTTCCCATAGCCCCGCCCCTGCCCCTGTCCCGCCCCGCCCCACCTTGTAATGCTCATACTATTGCTTTCCCTGTCCCTAGGCACCAAGCCGCTCTCCTGTAGTACAGATAGAAAAGGTTAACATGCTGATGGTCTTCAGGGTTGTGTTTCCACAAACGTGAGCTGCTTGAGTGCCAGCAAATGTATTCTTCTGAACTGTTCTAAGAAGAGTGGCTACGGTATTTTCTGAAAGCGCGGCACTTCACCCCAGTGGAGTTTTATATTCACGTTAATTTCTCTGAAACTCTATTGTATGCTTCATTAATCGCTGAAAAGAGATGGGAGCCATGAGTATTTTTGCCTCCCACAGTCAAATATTAACTGCCCTTATGTTTTGGCTGGAGAAAAATTGCTCCACGTCAAATGACAAAAGCAGGCAATAAGAAAAGGGGCAACATTTCCAATCGTGATTATTGTTTGTAACTTTCTAATGTACTTTTCCCCCCTTTGTTGTTTAGTCTTATCAGTTTGGATTTATATTTTATTAGTGAGAGGGCAGAAAACTTCAGTTTCATGTGAGTTCTACCTTCCACTGTGTAACTGTGGACACTTTACCACTCCCTCTGATTGGCTAAAAATCTGTCCTGCTATCTTCAAATAATAAAAAGCAACTTACATTTGCCGACAGCTGAGATGTGAGGGTAGCAACTTTCTCCTGAGATGCAACCAGTTCTCTCCGTAGCTTATGGATTTGCTGTGCAATTAAAAAGTCCAATACACCAAATGATCCATTAAAATGAAGACTTCAGTACAAGAAAGCAAGTACAGTAACCACAAGCAGTCAGTAACAAATCCTTTTACAGAGGTGAATGCCCCTTACACTGCAGCTTCCAATTGCTACTTAGAAAGAGAAGAGTGGATTCCTAACTTTATTGTCGGCACCCAGCTCTGCTCATCAAACTATATTATTGGATCTACTTATAAGTCCTGCAAGACAGAAACAATTCACTGCCTCTATAGAGTCGTTTCTTTCTAAAACATTATTGTGATTAAAAAAAAAACTTTTAAAAATTAATATAGACTATCTACACACTTTTCTTGATTTTTTATGTAAATTATACACCACACAATTTCTCTGAAAAAAAACTCAGGTGCTTTCAAAATACATTTTAGTTTTCTATACTTAATAAGATTTTTTTAAAAGGCATAGATTATCTTATAATATACAAAACTTGGATTTAAACACTTAGTCTGTATTTGAGAAAAATATGAATTTTTTTCTTCCGGAAACAGGATATTGTCATGTGGCCCAGGCTTTCCCCAAACTTAAGATTCTTCTGCCTCGGATTCTGGAGTGAAGGGGTTATGTGTATGAATCACTACACACAATATAAAGTGATTTTATGAAATGGAACTTTCACGGTGACTAGATAACTTCTAGCTAATTCTTCTAAGAAGAATGTCTTTATCAAGTGACCTACTATTAGCTCCAAGCAGAAATATTTTGTAGTTACCCAAAGTATAAAAATGAGGGAGGAAATTATGAATATTAGCAGAATTCACTAAAGAAACTAACAAAATAAATATTTTTAAATGGTTTTGTTTTTACTGATTTTTCACTTTAATAAAACGGGCACATCAATATTATATCATATTTTGCATTTCAGTCAATCAGATCTCACGTTGCCAGGAAATATAAACAGTGATTAAAATGTTAGAGCATTTCCAAGCATATGAAAATTGCTTCTGAAAGTGTATTTCTGGTCTGAGGGGAATCCAATCATTTAGATGCCAAGTATTCTACATAGATGTTTCTCTGAAAAAACAAGTACTTTATTCTTGGACCTGAACAATATGAATGCTAAGTGTGAAAGGACATTTTGGACATAGGCCATTAAATGTCTTCTCCCTTTCTACATAATACATTTTTATTTTGGAAAAGAAATAGTAATCAGTATTGAGAAGAGTGAGCAAAAGGAGTGATATTTATCTCAATTCGGAAATAGAAAACAATTACTCTATTTCTCTTCATCCTGCCAGCAGAAGGTGGTACATACACATTAATATAATCCAGCTATAAACTTGGGACCTATAACAGTGATGTGCCTAAAAGATATACTGGTGTAATAGTGGCACAAATATTTGGGAGCAACCAACCACTTTTTTTTAATTATTATTTTAGGTCATTCCATGAGATGAAAGCCATACCCAACACTGCTAATGTGACCAGGAAGCCAGGAACCTGTGACTAGGTAGACCACAGGCCAAGGATAAACTATGACTCTGCAAAAGGATCATAGCAATAAAATGGCCCCTAATGACATATTGCTATACTCATATACCAGCTCCTTATTCAACTCTCACAAGAGAAGTTTCTTCTTGTAGTACATGGGAATTAACATAAAGACCCAGAACTGAACCATGTATAGAGACTTTCAAGTACTCAGTCCTAAGTTGTTGTCTTTATTAAACCCCTCGAGCCTCTTAAGGCACAAGAATCTAAGTAGAAGAGGAGGATTGTAAGTGCCAGAGGCAGTGGATGACTCTAAGAAAACCGTGTCTTCTAGACTCAATAGGACTGACACACATGTGAACTCACAGAGACTACAGCAGCATGCACAGGGCCTGAACTGGTTCAAACCAGACAGGATTTCAGCACTGAGAAGGGAGGTTAACATGGGGTCCTAAGCATGATTTTACTGTTATTTCTACTTTTAAAATGGAGATCTACCTCAATCCCAGTGAACGTTTGTACTACTTTCATACAATGATACATTTAATCCCAGAAAGCAAAGAGCCTTTCATCTTTCAGACAAATATAAACAGAAAGAGGCTTTCCCAACTTACACCTTTATTATGCAATTCTAGTTCCTGTAGCATGTAACCCAGAAAAACTATGCAATTTATGGTCCCCTTTTCAAAGATCATGACCTCCTATATGCATAAATGATAAAAGGGGAATTGGATAGCTAATAAGGCAAGCAGACACTGCTACAGTTCTTAAAAAAAACACAACACAGTAGCTGTTTCAGGACCAACTCAAGTCTTGGCATGTCTGTGTGATGTGAAAAAGATAGTTTCTCTTAAAAAACTAAAACAAAAACCAAAAAACCAAAAAGTATGTGTGTTCACCAGCAATACTTTCTCAGTAGTTTCGAACATATGTTGGAATAAGTTTTAAGTCTAAACATTTATGAAATGAGTTCATTGGGAATGACTTTCTTTGCAAATCCATTTTCAAAGCATTTATTTTTATCTGCATCCGTGTAAACCTGTAAGAGAGTTGTTATTACTCCCAGAATCAAGTTTAAGTGACGTGTTTGTGTGCATGCCCACGTATGTGCATATGAATTTGAATTCTGGTTCCCTTAGAAGTCAGAAGAGCCACATCCCCGAGAGCTGGAGCTACAGATGTCTGTGAGACACTAGACACAGATGCTTAGGTCTTCTTCAAGTGCTGAGACATCTCTTCAGCCTTCATGAATAAAGTCTCAATTTAAGTCCCCCACCCCCGTAGAGAGGTCAGAAACTTTTTTCTTTTTACAAAGGAAAAATTTCCTTTCCAAGCAGAAGTTTGATTCTGTACAGGATTGCAAGCAAATATGTATTTGTGAAATGTATCCCCTATGCAGAAAAGAGTAATTCTAGAGGTGGTGCAGTCATGCCACAGATAGGTAGACAGGGGTTCTGGTACCTGTGTGGAGAAGGCCCTGTGCAGCAGACTCTATACTTTCATTAATACTAAACAGAGCATCTCAGGCAGTGAAATGGATGTGTGGCTCTCCTAATTTAAGCTCAACTGACTAATGAATGAATGAATGAATGAATGAATGGCTGCCATCTGCTATAGATAGCATATTAGGTGTTAAGGCTCAGGCAGAATACGAGAGGAAAGCCGGCTGCTAGAACTTCCTGTCATTTTCCCTAAGAGAAATCATCTAAGACCAAAGATTAACTTGTAACTAACAGTTATGTTAGTGTATCAAGCGCCCTCTAATGGCAGAAAAACCGATTTCATCCTAAAGTAAGGCTGGTTTTCAAATATTAGAATGGTATGAGATTTTACCTCTGAATGAGCCTTCTCTTCAGCCTGTAAAATAAATAAATAAATAAATAAATAAATAAATAAATAAATAAGCAAACAAACAAACAGATTTTAATTATAAAACTAAGGACAACTTATTCTTATGTGTAGATGAATAACATATTTTAACATGTATTTACAACTTTTATGATCTAACATAAGAGTAACATCAGCATATACAAGACTAGCTAATATAAAACAGTATACTATAGAAATAAAGTAGATAGTTATTTTGATAAAAGTATTTAAAACTACGGGTACTAGGTATATAACATGTCTTAGGATAATGTAACAGTTTATGATCTACAGAGATCCTAAAAACATCATCAAAACCTTATTATACTCTAGATATATGGATGCGTGGGAACAAACATGACATTTGTGTGTGTGTGTGTGTATGTGTGTGTATGAGAGTCCATGAAATTGCATAAATCTTGAGCTAAGACTTAGAAGAACTTTATCTTCTGGTTTATATATTATGACAATGACAAATGGGATTGAAGGAGAAACGCCGGTCACTGTTGTTGATAGTAGAAAGTAGAGGTTATTCATTCCTATTCGCTTTATTTTCCTTGATGGCTATAAAGTTTATTGGCAGGCACATCAGCTAAACAACAAAATAGTTTATTTTAAAAATAATCATAAAAGAGACGGCCAATTAACGTTGGCTGTGCGGCGTATGGCAATGAGAAGTGCTGTACACAATGGCAGGGCGTTTTATATTTCTGTACGGAAAACTCCTAGGTCTTTCTTCCGTCTTCATGCTGGGCTATGAAACTCCAGCAAATGAGTTATGTGCACCATTACATTTGGGAACCTGATGCAATCTGGAACGAACTGGAGAGTGTGTAATGTTGCTGAACAAAATAACTCCTGCCTGTTGCCACTTGCTGAAAAAGGCTGCCAAGCAGTCTTGTCACCTTTGGTTGCTTGGGGACATTTTGTGATTAATTGAAACAAAAATACCTGAATTGGCTTTGGTCTGTTTTACTGAAGAAAGAAGACACACACACACACACACACACACACACACACACAATGCAAATAAAACAACTTCCTACATATATTTTGTTCACAAGCATTTCTTTTAACCTGAATTTCATGTGTTTTTCTTTTTTTTAAATCTACCTTTGAAAAGTATCAGGATATATGTTAAGATATTTGCAGTGTACTAATTATGAAGGCTTTGTCTTCATAAGAAACTTTGTATTTAAAAGCAATGTTAACATCTGCTTTGGTCATTTTAAAAACTCATTTTTAGCATTTAAGATTTTTATTTTTTCAAGATATTATATGGGGTTTGCTGTTCAGATCTGCAGCACAAGCAAAGAATACTAAGTCAGGAATATGATTAAACCTTATTCACGATTTTCTTTGGTTGACTACATAATCCTTTTAATATTTATTACCAGTTTATTCTGGTCACCTTCTGTCTTTAGGATTATTTGGATTACATAAAAATTATAAAGACTTAATAAATAATTGATTTTTAAAAAAAGAGATCTACTTTGTTTAGCAGAAACAAAATAATTATCACATCATTGCATTTTCATTAAAATAACCCCAAGTTACAGGTGTTAGTTACGTATTAATGTTCTGCATGGCATGAATTTTCTCATAGTTGAGTTTTTACAACCATTGTTTTCTTTAATCTTTGCCTTCTTTCATAGTCCATGGCTATTTTTTGCCAGTAATACCTACTACCACAAAAATGAAACAACGGGTCAAACACAATGGTCTATATCCCCCAGTGGCTTAGATCTGGGATTAATGGTATTATAGTGGAGTATGATTATATACATGGTTTTTTTTAGTGAATTTGTTGAAGCAAGATAATATATTCCTAAGTAAAAATATCACTTGGTTTCTGTATTTCTCAAGCCAGTTAAATTTATTATTAATAGTCACTTGTTAGCATCGTCTTCATGTTAAGCAATTTGTGAAGGACACACATGAGGATGAAGCATGGGGCCTTCTTCCCATGAAATCAGTGGGAATCAGAATATAATGGGATCGGTAGAAATTTCTTATTTCACCAACGGAAGAAACTACTGTTTTTTTTTTTTTAATTATCATTGCATATGTAACAATAGTAATTAAGGAAAACAATCAAGAATTAAACACAAAAGAAGGAGGAGGGCTTAGAGATAGAGGAAACGGAGCAATGGGAATGGGGACAGCGTATGAGAAGAGGGGATTTAAGATGGCCGAAGTATATTACACATATGTATAAAATGATGGGAGATGCCATTATGTATATATAGTTCTCATACTGGTTAATAATAAAGCACTGTTGGCCAATAGGAAAGGAAGATAGGAGGGACTAGGAGACAAGGAGGAAATAGGAAGTAGGAAGGAGGAGTCAAGATGGAGAGTCTGGAGAGAGCTGGACGCCAGCCACCTCCCCGGTAAGAGAAGGCCATGTGAAAATACATAGATCAGCAGAAATGGGTTAATACTTAAGACAGAGCTAGCCAATAAGAAACTAGTACCTGGCCAACAGTATAATATCAAATACAGAGTCTCTGTGTGTTATTTGGGGCTGGCACGGTGGCGGGACAAGACCAGGCAGCGGCAGGCAGAATTAATACATACAAATAAAATGGGTGTGTCTGAAAATAATCAGTCTTGCCCTTAAAGTTTGATTGCTGAGTGCAAGCCAAAGGGTGTACATTTTTCATGTCCTTTCTACACAAAAGTAAAGATTAGAACTTAAAGCTGCATGAGACTCATTGCCTGCTTGTAACACCTCACTGACGGAAGCTTCCCTATCATGTCATTTACTGATGAAGGAACTACCTTCAAGGACAAACATTCTCACTTTTTGTAAAAAAAAAATTAATCATAATTTTTCACACTGGGAGAAGCTTAAACATGGGCATTCATCTCCCGAGAAAACAATTTACAAGTAAACTCTTTCCAGAAGATATATCTGTTAGTTTTTTCCAGAGGAAATGAACCTAAAGATCAAAAGGCACACATCTAGTTCTTCAAGGTCCTTTTGGCACAATCTTTCTCAAAAATAATAACTGGAGAGTATGGTATAAAACAATTATTAGCCATGGATGAGAGAGGAAGTCAAGAAGCATCCTGGACAGAGGATTTAAGGGCTCTATCACAGTCTAGCATGTTTTATAACAGGGCTCTACACTTCCTCACTGCTCACAATGAATGCACCCAAGTCAAGTGAAAGACCATATTTTACTAGGCAATTGCTACACACATATACAGCAGAGGCAAAAGCAAAACAAAACAAAACAAAAACCAGAGTGTACTTACCGTAGAGTAAACAGAAGATGTGCTAGAGACCAACGACAGGGAAGAGCCATGAACTAGAGAAAACAAGAACATGGTTGAAATAATGAAGTTAACAGGGAAGTCCAGACCTTTACTGACAACATAAAGAACAGGTGGCTAGAGACAGAAAATAACCCCAGCAAATGAAAACAGTTGGCTGGTTATGAAAACAGCTGACTGGAAAACACTTAGAGATCCCACAGTTTAATGGGCCGAAGCCTAATTTACATGCTAGCGGTATGTTACAGAGAGAAGTAGTGAGCACGAGGTCCACTGCGTGTACATAACGGACGCTGCAGAAAGTTCCCATCCACAATGAACAGAAAACTACTAATAATAAAAAAGAAAACTTCTAAATGGCTTTTCATATGGTGTTTACGGAATTTCCTTCTCCAAACTTCAATACCCAGGTTTGGGAGTTTTCTCTACAGATTTTCAAGAAAATAAGGGCTTGATACAACTTGGTATTTCATTATTGGGGATGAATTGATTGTGCTGTTTGAAATGGGGGAATCAATTCTTTATAAACTTTAGTAATATAAAAACATTTCCACTTAAAGACGAAAATTCATTCGGACTCATTGGATACGCATCAAATGCAATGTCACAGCAATTAAAGATATGCCATTACTTCGCCACTTACAATGCATTAAACCGAAAAGGTGGGTAAAATTATGCTTAATTATGTTTGTACATAAGTTCTTCCTTTTCCCACATGGAATAATGCTGTCGCTGCTTTCAATTTATCCCTTAAATAGACATATATTAGCTGAGCACATACAATGTCTGACACCATTTCAAGATCCTGGGATTATACGAAAATGAAATACAACCCTGCGTGCTCAAAAAGAAGTCAAAAGGCATAATGAAAACAACGACCACAGCAGAGTAATCCATATCTGTTGACATTAACTGGGAAGTTCAAGGGCAGAGGGCAACACCTCTAACTTGGTTTGCAGAGGGCTGTGGAAACTGCCCGGGACAGTGCCAACGCCAACCCAGATGGCAACAAGAAGATGACAGTTGAGAGAGAGCTAGAAAAAGAAATCTTTTCATTTCTACTTTTGATGTAAAAAGAAATCTTTTCATTTCTACTTTTGGTGTGTGTGTGTGTGTGTGTGTGTGTGTGTGTGTGTGTGGTCTGTATGTATAAAATCAGTGTTTGCTCAAGAGTGCATGCTAATGACCAGTGCAGGATGTGAGGTGGCTTCCTCTGTTACTCTCTTCATACCATGAGAAGGGTCCCCTGCTGAAGTGAAGCTTGTCTTTTTTTTTTTTTTTTTTTTTTTTTTTTTTTTTTTGACTAGGTAGCTTGCACAGAGAGAGCTCTGGGAATCTTCCTGTCTCTGTCTCCCAATGCTAAGCTTCCATGTATGCACAACAGTTAGCTTTTACATGGGTATTTGGGGTTCAACTTAGGCCTTCGTGCTTGCAAAGTCATTATTCTTACTCTCTGGTCCAACTCCTCAGCTGTAGAAGAGTCATTTTAAAAGTGATTTAATAATCTATGTATTAATATATATAGATCTTTCTGAGAAGGGGGATGAAACATAACCTCTAGTGCTTGGGGTAACACTATTGTTTCATTAAGTGTGCAAAACCTGACTCTTTGAGTCAATCGTCTTCTGAAAAGTCCTATTCTTTCAATGTCTATGTAGCTCTTGGGTGATGTTGAAAAAAGTGACAAGAGTTAGCCTGGAGTAGCAGAAGGAAGATGGACAATGGCCCAGAAGAGCCCATTCCCATCCTTTTCTTGCCTCTTGTTTTTTATAGGTCTGTTACTTCATAGTTCGCATCTTAGTCTTCTCATCTGTCAGTGGGAGCAATCTAGGTCAAGCCTGCCTCCATTTGAGATCACAATTTAAGCAGGCCCGAATGGCTTAGCATTCAATGCATGAGCATGAAAGAGTTCATTTTGTCCACCCAGGTTAGCTTTCAGCAACTCGCATTACTTAAATAGCGCACACTGGATGCCAAATTTCCCAGCAATGAAAATCATTCTACTTGTAAATGAGGCACTCAAGAAAGCCATCCATATGTTTTGCAGAGTATAAAAAGTATAAAGACGCTTCTGTGCAAGAGCATGACACGATCACCTCACAAAGGCAAGGGCCTAACATTTCAGATTAGTTACAGTTTTTGCTATGCTGTGGCATCAACCGGCCTTCATCTGTCACAGGCAGGCAGCTTGGTGATTTGCTTATTTTCCCCCAAGGCACGGGCAAAGGTGGGCCACTGAGTTAGTGCTAGCACATTAAGTTTACAATAGTGACCTGAAATCATAGCATACATTACATAAGAAGATACATTTCTCATCCATGTGAGCAATCTACAAAGTGAATGCTCACAATACTAGGAAACTTCCCCGAGTTCACCCTATAAATGACTCATGGCTAAAGACGTATCTTCTGCTGCGTTCCACGTTTAGGGCTTTTGTGTTAGGTATAGTTATTAAATGGTAGCATGCATGCTTGATTCTACTCTAATCACTTGGATTTCTATGCCTTAGCTGGCATGCTTCATGATGTGCAAGCCATATGCTTTCTTCATGGGTAATTAAAAATGTTTCATTAAAGGAAAGTTTCTTAAATTAGAATTGAGTTTTCTATACTATGTACACTTGAGAAAATATGTACACGTGAGCATAAATTTAGCTTCCTTGGATTTTAGCATGGGTTTCTTGAGAGCATGCACATGCAATTGTACAACAAAAAGACATCAACTAGGCCAGGTATGAATTTTATTACCACTGGATAAAAATGTGACCTATATTTGGAAAATGTAGATAGAATATAAATTCTAAAATGCTACAATAGCTAATAGCACTTAGAGTTGAGAACAAAAATTAGCAACATAAGATAGCTTCATAAGATAATTCCTTTTATGGCTTATATATCTTTACAGATCTTTAATAAAGGTTTTGACTAAAGCATTTGTTCTAATATGTGATACATATGTCAAGATCTCTAAAGCCCTGTGTCTATCTTTAAGAGAACATTGGATTTCTCCAAACCGTGGTCAAGCACGGATTTTTAAAAGAAACTGATGCCCTTCATAACACATAAAGAAACAATAAGGGCATCTTCAAGCTTTAGTAAACCCAAAATAAGAATTACATCTGCTGTTTCATTTTCTCTTCCAGGATCCTTATGCTGTGAATACTGAAGTGAATCTACTTTCAGACTTACATGAAGTAACAGTATTCTTATCTTCTCCCATTCCCATCCCCATTACCTTCCTCCATGCTGTCTCTGAATGACCCCGAATGGCTGATAGCACGCGGCCTTTCCTCCAGAGAAGTGGCACTACCACAGAGCTGGGCATCGTCATACAGGTCGAAGGAGGAGTCTTGGGCAGGAATGCTGTTGGAGCGCATCATACTGGGCCCAGGAAGGTTAAATTGAGAAAGGTTGGTGGGACTCACTGGAAAACAAGGAGGAGAGGCTTAAGGACCTGGACAGGGAAGACGACTGGTTAAAACAAAGTAGACATTGTCACGTGAGGTTTTCTTTGGCCCAGCTTGGTCCTGCTGCCCTTCTCCACCCCAAATAAACTCACAAGACTTATATAAATGATTAAACTGCTGGCCATTGGCTATGGTTTCTTATTGGCTAGCTCTGACTTAATTATTAACATTTCTATCAGTCTAAGTATTTCCATGCTTACTGGGAATGCCAGCCCTGCATCTCCTTTGTCTGCTACATCTCTGCAGAGAAGGGAGTGATTTCCTGTTTGTTCCTGCTTATATTCTGATTCTGCCCAGCTATGTCACTCTTTGCCTGTCTGTACAGACCTTCCGACCTCTATGGTTAGCTAGTGGCAGTATCTGTCATGCTATGTCACTTCCCGCCTGGCCAATCAGTGTTTTATTCATCAACCAATAAGACAAACTAACCAACCCATCAATAAGAAGAATATCCCCTATCAAAACACAATGCCAATTCTTGTAAAAAAAAAAAAAAAAAAAAAAAAAAAACAAGTATGTTAGAATGATGGAGGAGGTTTCTCTTATTGGTTGGTGAATAAATGCTGATTGGTCAGTAGCCAGGGAGGAACTATAGGTGGGGTTACTAGACTAAGAACCCTGGGAAGAAGAGGGGCAAGTAAGCAAGTCACCAAAAGGAGACACCAAGAGCTCTTGGAGATGCACAGGAGATAGAAATGGGTTAATAATTAAGAGAGAGCTAGTCAATATGAAGCCTGAGCCATTGGTCAAACAGTTTATGATTAATAAAAGCCACTGTGTGTTTATTTGGCAGTAAAGGGTGGTGGGACCAGGTGGGACAAAGGCCTGTCTACATCAGGAACTCTCAATTTTAGGGAGGTGGAGATTCTACCTGAGAAACATCAGTAGTGGAGAGCATGAATCCTTTCTCCTAAGTACTTGCATGGCAATAATCTAATTTCTATTAATGTCAATTTCTAAAGCTACAGACATTATCACCAACAAGTCATCTCGGCTGTTTGTGGTAGAGATATACTGACATGATATTTTCTAGTAAATGACTAAGAAAATACTGTCTCTCCCAAGGCAACAGGCCTCTTTCCTAGAGAGTAATCATATTTCAATAAGGAAAGCATAATGGAAAAGAAAGTAAAATATAAATAGAAAATTTATCCACAAGAGGAGCTCTGTAGGTATTCCCAGGTAAAGAGTTTAAATCGTTTTGAGCTATATTGATGTGAGTTTATTAGAGTAAGGTCATAAAGAAGAATAAAAAGCATTTTCTTTAAATAAAGTATATATGGTGTCTCATCTTCTAGAAAGAGAATCATAAAAAAGCCATTTTGTGCTGAGTCTAAGATGGAAATCTCAAAATGAGGTTGTCAAGACAAACATATTTCAAAGAAGTATCTCAAGTGCACACTTTCATATAAGATTCTGTCAGTTGTCTATTGCCTTATATCTCATAGTATCCCACGGCTTAGACCAAATGATAATCATCAGCATAAAAACAAAGATATGTCTGACTAAACGATTGTACTGGAAAACACTACCACATTTGCAAACTTGGAATAGGATTGAGGCAGCCAAACGGAGAGACAGCCATCATGAGTTTGTTGTATTAAAACGCCTCACATTTACACTACCACATTTGGAAACTTGGAATAGGATTGAGGCAGCCAAACAGAGAGACAGCCATCATGAGTTTGTTGTATTAAAACGCCTCACATTTAAGAAAGAGAATTTGTTATTGCTATAGAAGGACCAAGCCAGAACCTACAAAGGAAACCACTACAGCTATGAAGGAAAGCACTGAGCATTGTTAGAGCGCTGGAGAACCACATCAGCAATGCTGACTTTAATTGGCTCGAAGTTTTAAACTTGCTCTATTTTTTGACATATGACATATCATAATATAATTAGTTGTTCTCATGGTAAAGTTACATTGCAGGCTTGACTCCAAAATAAGCGAAAGTATGTTTCTACTGATGACAAGGAACTATGCTTGATATTTCACAATGTTAACTGAAAACGAGATAGAACAACCCTCTGACAGTTATGCACTGGAGTTAAATGAAACACAGACAAGGAATTAAATGTAGAAATACAATGAAAAAGGAATAAACTATAAATTCATAAAGTATATAACTAACTGGAAGAAAGAAGAACACCCAAAGAAAGAAGTAAATGATAAAAGAAGAGAAACAGAGACAGAGAAGAAAGAGATATCAAGAGACTGAGGGAAATCAGTGGAATGGAGAGAGGAAGAGAGTGAGCTATTTTTTTTCAGGTGTATTCCTCTAGCCTGGAGCAGTGGCCATTAGTCCTAGATCATCGCGGTTACCGATAAACACCATGAGTTTAGTAATGGGACATTCAGAACTTGAATGCCTATATTCAAGGTACAGAGGTTTCTATAGCGAGATATTAACCAGTGGTTTTGTGATATTGTTTTAAATAATAAAATCTTATGTAAATTTAAAATGTATGTGGAATCTAGTCATGTAACTAAGATGCATGGTTACAAATTCAGAAATTAAAAAAAAAAAAAACCTGAAGTATAAACTTCTAAAATATGTGTCCAGATTTAGACAGTTGGTACTTTGTCATATTGAGTTTAGAATATCATGAAACTTTATCTAATAGATGGGTGGCTGAATCATACATGTTTTTACCATGGGAATCTCTTCTTCAGTACATGTGTCATGGTTCACTTCAAATATGCTGAAGAGAGTGGTGAGAGAAATAATATTCTTCTAGAAGGATGAGGGGGAGTAAAAGAAGGAAAGTGCTTAGTAACTACTATATCTGCAACACACTCATACATAGTACTGAGAAGCCATAGGTTGGTGTCAAGGATTCTACACAGTGACACCACAGGCAAGAAAGATCACACACCTAAGCCTACTCATTTTCTCACATGGACCCTCATTCCTACCGACACTGCCTCCTGAATGTTGAGGTTACCAAACCTAGAAAGGTTCTACATTCTCTTCAACTGCCTTTTCTTTTCATCTATTAAACATGTGTAAATATATAAAAATGTTTAGAAATATTATTTTAAAATTCAAATATAATACACATTAAAATTTAAGATCCCTATCTTTTTCATTTTCAATCTGCTGCTACAATCAATGCTAAAGTCTGGTTTGTATGTAGTTCTTGCATGGTCGCTGTAAATAGAAACAACAGCTCCCTAAAATCCTACAGAAATGCTCTGTTATCTGTAGAAGCACAATTCTTCTCTCATGTTATATTTTAACACTTTAAAATAACTATGTAATACAATATAATCTTAAATCACCAATGTTTTAAACATCTATGATCATGGTATATTGGCTCCAGCTAACACATTAATTTCAATTTTGCAAACTTCTAAATAGAACTCTGTACAACTGTTTGACATTTTTGGTAGAGAAGACTATAATCCAAATGTCATAGTTGTATTCTATATTTACATAATGACACTTTGACTTGCATTCACATTAAATATTACAGCCATCAATTTGAATTATACTAAATTAAATGCAGGTAAAACTAACTGCTGTTCTTTCATAGCAGGAGATATGATTCCTAATAAAAATGTTTCATTTCAGAGTCTTAAGTCTGCAAGTAGTATATGTCTTCCTATTCATTATATCCATCATTCCTTGTAGTGTGGTCTAATTATGTTCAGCTAAGTTCCACTAAGTTTTAATGGCTTTGCCAAGGCTGGACAATAAAAATCAGGGAGCTGTTGTGTTTCATCCAAGAATAATGGAGTAGAATGGTTTATTTAGATCATCATGTGTAGGAAAATCAGCATATTCAGATAATTAAATTAACATCAATTAATAAAAACTTCATAGGCCATAAGAGATATATAGGAAATCTACAGTGTTTGGGGTATTTTGTGTTTATATTCCAGATGTTCCATTATATGTTGTTCGAATTTATATTCTTAAGGGCCTATAAAAATATTTTCAATTTTTTTTAAAAAAATTCAGTGTTAAGATTTTTTTATGTTTTATAATTATGCACCCAGTTAAATGGAAGATATACATCTTTTCCAATTATGGGGCAAAGATATTTCACTATGTAAAGCTACAGCAGCAAAGCCTCGATGCTCATAACACTTCAGTAGCTCATCTAGAACTGTGGTAAAGATCATTGTGTCTTAAAAGCCCTAGCAGTTACAGTGGGAAGAATTGAAATAGGAAAGATTTAGCCTTGAGTCCTTTGGGGTTGAAAGTTGCAACCATGTTTTTTCTCAGCTGACAAAAGATAAAATAAGGAGACTCCTTTCATATGTGACCTGACAGAAGGTGAATTATTTTTACAATAATAATAATAATGTGTACGTGTGTGTCTATGTGGAGCTGTGTCTACCATGAGTACAGATGCTAGAGGAGGCTGGAAACACACATCCCTCTGGAGCTAGAGTTGCAGGAGGTTGCAATTGCCCTATGTGGGTGCTGGGAACCAAATTTGGATTCTTTGGAAAAGCAGTACCAAACTGTCAAGCCACCTTTCCAGTCCAAGAAGCTAAATTTTTACATCACCACTGGGTCTTTTAGATGATAACTGACATGCTTAGACATGCTTCACAGTTTCCTTGATCTTCTCTGTGTCTGTGGTATTTATGTAAATGACATCATTTTCCACAAATGACACTAATGGCTAAAACAGTCATTTAGTTTTCAATATAGTCCACAGAATGTTGTCATTGGTGACATATTATATACCTTAAGGAACGTGTTGATTTCAGTAATGTTTCAAGAAATTATACTTCAAGAAGTATAATTACATACTATTTTCAACCTAATTATTTCCATATTCTATTTGTCTCCATAAAGACCTTTAATTTTGTTCAGCAACAACACAAACTAAGATGCTCTACTGAATATAAATAAGGACTTTGAGATGGAATGGAGGAGGTCGTGTGCTTGCGTGTGCTTGTTTTGTGATTTGTCCCTGCATCCTATACTGTGGTCTGTTTTGTACAGTTCGGCTTTAGCTCACAAAACAATAAAGATTCTAGTTATAATAGTTATCAAAATTAAGCATTTTTCATAGAATAAGGAATACAGTATGTGGCAATTATTCTGTGTACAGTAGGTACAATGCTGAGGCGCTCTCTCTCTCTCTCTCTCTCTCTCTCTCTCAATGGAAACACACCAACACTCCCATGAGAGTAGGTTGTGAATGGACTGGAAGAGGGCTGATGATTTAGAATATTTTACCCAAATTGGAAAAGTGGTATTTTCCTGTGGCTGAAGATGACATAGCAGAAGGGGAGACCAGGGGTGACTGGTTGCCAGTGTCCTGCAGCCCTCCAGTGGAGTGGGAACGCAGCCACTCTTTGCCTTCTTCTTGGTTGGCCTGCCGAGACGATGGGGTGTATCTGCAAAACAGCACAGCTGAGACACTTCAGCACATCTACAAGGGCAAGGCACTGTCAGGACAAGCGAGCAACCGAGGGGAGCTTACTATTCAGACTGCACAGCAATCACAAACAGATTGGATCTAATTACAACTGCTCAGTTCCTCCAGATGATTTGGCACCATCTGCTTGATCCCACAGGGAAAATAAATAGAGTCATGTGAGAAGACGATGATGCTTCTCTGAGACATGGACTTGAAAGGCGTAAGCAATGAGCAGGCAGCCAAGTTAACTGAGAAGGACCCCAAAGCACAGTGTTTGGGAGGACGCGGGGAGGGGCGAACACCACATCAACATGGCAGACCGTGGTAGGCCAGAAGCTAAGGGAGGCACACTGACAGTCACAGAACAGCAGAGGAAATGGGACACAAAATGATAGCGAGAGGAGACTTTCAGTTCTTTGGTTAAAATGCCACTTGCAGTCAGTTTTTCAGGCTATGCCTGTTAGCTTTTTTTCCTCTGAATCTTTGTCTCAAAATAATAATAATAATAATAATAATAATAATAATAATAATAATGTGTAAGGTGGGCTCATGGCCATGAACCCAATTTTCATTTTACTTTTATTCTGAATTGAACAACTATTTAGATATTGCTAGGTGACAGTAGATTAATTCAGATTTAAACTGATCTGGTAAATAATATGAGCAGGCATGGAAGGTAGAAATTGGGACCAAGCTCTTATAAGACACATTCTGTAAATAATTCCTTAGTTGACATACCAGCCCTGTGATGATAATTTCTTTTTATCTACTCCATTTATAGCACACTTCAACCTTTCCTTCTTACTTGTCATAGGTATAGACAATGTAGACTGGGGGGGGGGGAGAGACTAATTTTCCATTTTTTAAAAATATGTTAATTTTCGTGGGCACCTGTACATGCATGAATGTGTATAGTATATGTGTGTGGTTTGTGGGCACACATGTAGGTGGAAGCAATCAGGCATCGGGCTCTATTGCCTTCTGCCTTACACCTTTGAAACTGGATCACTCTCCTCTCACCAAACCCGAGCAGAGCTGTGAACCAGTGGTTTTCCTGCCTCTACTCCTGCCAGTGTTGGGAATTTGAACTCAAGTTCTCATGCTTGCTTACCAAGCATGTCTACCAGCGGAGTCATCTCCCTGGTTTCTCAGTTTTGAAGTTTTGCAAACACATACTTTCAAGGAGAAAAAAACCCGGAGAAGTAATCTGGTCTCAGTAAGAGAGAGATGACTTGTGCACTAGCACTAGCACAGCATCCGAGCTGCTCCCCACATGAACAAAGCCTCTTATTTCATGATCATGACATTCCTACTGGGATTCACTCGAGTCAGCACCTCCATCCTCACTGGCATCGCTTCCTAAGGAGCGTCACCTACTCCTTAAGCCAGAGAAAGCATCAAGGTCAAAAGAGCCTTCAGCTTCCATGCCAGATGCTACACAGCAAACAGACGGGAAGAAGACATAGCACAGAAAGTTTACGTAACAACAGAAAGAGGCACCAGTTGTGCTGAGAGAAATATATACCTTAGTCCCTTTTTGGGTAGTGTATTTCTGTCAAGCTGCATGCTGTTAAAAACAAAGAAAACCCCTAAGGACATAATGCAAACAAAATTTCCAAAATCATATACTCAACAAAATTCATTCCCCAAACTACACAAATTAGCACTCGGCTAACACATACATGAAAACTGAAGTGATTGGAAAAGCTAACTAAGGGGCAGGGCCTCTGTTGTTGCAATAAATGTGGGGTTTCTTTCTATCCTAGTGGCATTAAAAAAGTGATTAGAAAACGCATTAAATCATGTTAGCTTAACTTCCCTGTGGATGCTGTGGTACCCTCCCTCTCCTGTGCAGTGGAGTGGACTAGACTTTTGCTGTGACTTCATATGCAGAAGAATCATAGGGATGACTATGACATCCAATGTGACAAGTCCCAATGACAAGGTAGGATGGAAAATCACATAGCAGTTGTACCTTGTCTAGTTGTGTCTAATAGAAGGGATGAATTTGTTTTCCGCTTACATAAAGAGAGAATTCAACATATAACATGTATTTCCTCTAAACAATGTTTATTGTATTTATTTAAATGTATTAATGAAGTAAACCTATTTCATCTTTGAGAAATGACTGACACCTGGGTATTTAAAGGGTTATTTGTATATTGTATCACCATCATTTTAACTAAGTGGGAAATGACTCACTGGAAATGGAGAGGAATGGGACACACTGAGAGGCTCCATTCTAATCTCTAGCATGCAGCTCGCCAAAGTGGAAAATGAATATGGACTTACAGGACTATTGCTCTTTGCTTAGAGCATCAAATGATCAAAATTAAATACATAGCATGTACACAATGGGGATGATTTAACACAAATGCAAAACAGACTGACTTAAAACCAAATCACTCAAAACCAAAGCTAAAATGTTTTCTTCTACAGGTACTCCATTATATTATGAGTAATTTGCTCTTGTCATATGTTATGATTATAAAACTTCCTAACTACTGTTAAAAATCAAACCAAAGGAATCGTAAATCAATAAGAAACAAATTACAAAACAAATAAGACATCTCTAAATAGAGCTATATTGGGCTATGTATTTATGTGATCATGTGCTATTATTTCTTTGTAATATTGCAGAAAATAAGAAAATTGTTATTTTGCCAATGTTATCAGCTTGTATAAAAAAATCACATATCTATAAGTTACAGTGAAATAACTCAAAACACACTTAAATTGAATAATATAGACCATTTCCTGGACTCAAGAGCAATGGTTCTCAACCTCTGGGTTGAAACACCTTTGGTAAACCCCCTATCTCCCAAAATGCTTACATTATGACTTATAACACAAGAAAAATTACAGTTATGGAGTATCAATGGAAACATGCTATGGTTGGGTTCACCACAACATGAGGAACTGTATTAAAGGGTCGCAGCATTGTGAAGGTGGAGAACCATTGGTCTAGACATTCATGACAATATTATGTTGGCTTTCCTGCAAAACTTCAAGAACTGACTACTCCAGTGTCAGCAATGGCTAGGAAGGGAGACACAGTGAGTGAAGTGGAGATTCCAATCCGTGCACTATATGTCTCTGGCCAAAAGCTGTAATGTGCAACTCGTTTGCACGGTTGTCAAATTCTACATTTAATGACAAACCACAAATTTTCAAGATTGTCTATGAGTTTAAATTACTTTAAAAATATGCTTTGGGTTGGTTACAGTCACAGGGCCACCAATGACTAGATCAGATGTGCAGTGCAACACGGAAAAAATATTTCATTTGTAGTCATTCATTTCCTTACTTTTTAATTCGAGGGAATGATTTATGTGAAAATTGGAATTAGTAAGAAAACTCACTGATTTATTAGCCATAGGACATGAAGATCAAAGTGTATCAAGAGAAGTCAAAAACTTAAATACTCCTTAACATCTATCATATATGTCTCAAATTGACTTTTTAAAAAAAGCACACTTTCATCCACTTTTATGCTTTCCATTTAGTTATTAACTGACCAGTTATGTAAGTACATTCACATGAGACTTTCTTGAACATGTACTCTTTGCAATTTCCATCAGAAGGAAAAGTACACACAATGTTTTAAGTCAAAAAAACATTCAATAGAGCCATTGGCGGGAATGAACTTATTACTATCAGTCTTATATGTCATTCTTAATAAGATACTCACATTAGTTCACATGGCTGAATAGTCACTAATAACATTTAAAGCATATCTTAGAGAGTCTTTATTTAATTATTCTAATGTTGGGTTAAAATTATCCTATTTCTAATATTGTGTAACTATTACAAGATTTGATTTAAAACTGTAAATGACAATATACTTATTGCTGTATTTTTACAGTAAATGTAGAGCTAAAATGTGGAACAAAGTATTAACACTTGATTCCACCATAACTATAGAACTTGTTGATTTTAATGTGCAGTTTTGACTGGATGGTTTCTTGGTTACAATGATATACTTGACCATGTTTCTTAGTATTTAATGTTTGAGGGCTTGGTTTCAACTTGGTTGAAATCCATATGATCAACTTTTTGTTTCCACCTTTTTAATTTAAAGAATATATGTATTTTGGAGGATGGTTGTGACTAGGAAATTATAATCTGCTTGTTCAATTTAGATATTAACTTATTTTTTAAAAAAATCCTTCACATATGTTATTATAAATCTAAGATATACTATTTAAATAAGACTGTTAATACATTTTAAATATAACCATTTGGTGTAAGTTTTATACATGACATGTGATCATGCCTACTTACCTTATAACTACAGAAACTAGAATCTGAGATATTATTGTAAGTCTGTGTTCAGTAGCAGTTCTTTATTTGTCGTGTGTACTAACAAAATCTGAAGGGAAGCTCGGGCTTTCTTTGAATCACATGAGCATTGAGGACTAATTGTTCATTTAGGTTTCAGGTGTTTGAATGTAGTGGACGTGCCAATCACAAGACTGAGTACAGTGAGGTGACTGCACACCAAAAGGCAGTATTTCATTCCTGACTTTGTAGTTCACACAGTCAAGTGAATCCAGAGGAAAGTAATTGGAAATAACAGATTAAAGGACAATTCGAGCACTGTAGATTGTATCTTAATTAAGAGATTAAACTTATATTTAAAAATTCCATGTATTTCTCAGAGCACAATTGTAGAATCCATTTGAATTAACCATCCTTAGGATCTGTGTTGACCACCATTGGAAATGTCTTGAGAAGATACCACTCACTGCATGAACACCTACTTTACATAGTGTTCAAATTGCCTACTGGCTAGAAAGGGAGGCATTCGTGTTAAGAAAGTGATCCAATCACCCTACCTTTAATGACGTCATTCCTTGTCAAATTTGGTAACACAAGTGAAGAATGAGACTGGTCTTATCTATTAACTCTAAATCTAACTTCATTTTTATGTCACTGCACAGTTGTAGTCACAGTGGAATGGAGGAAATTTAGAGCAGGGTGGGGTCGTGGGCACAGTGAGGGAAGAAGGGATTAAGGACTCAGCAATGCCGCCGGTATGGCTCACCTTTCTGAGAGAGTAGATCTCACACTACCCGTTCTGGTGAGCAGGCTCTGCACCTCGTGAGTGCCTGTGGTCAGTCCAGACAGCGAGCCATGATGGCTGAGGGGCAGGTCAATTGACTCAGAGCTCGTATGGAGACTAGTCATGGACTGGTAACTCGGAGTGTCCTTGCTGCCAGCAGAGGAACTGCTCAGATTGGCAGCCCACACAAGACCACCCGATGTGAAAGAGTGAACCGACGCTGGGCTGGAAGCCAAGGAGTGACTTAAGCTTATAACATCTGTAGTTAGGTCTGAGGGCTTATTGAAGAGAGGGCTGCTGTTGCCGCTCAGCCCACCAGCACTGCCCATGCTGCCCGTACCAGACGACGGTGACTCCAGACTGCCTTGTCGCGCTAATGAGGTACTAGGGCTGGGCACTACTGAGGAGGATTTCACACCCTCAGTATTAGGTGCAGAGGCAGATTTGCCACCTGCCTTGGCACCAAACAACCTAAAAGAAAAACAAATAACAACTTCAGTTGTTCCAAGAGACTCATATCCACATTCCATAGGGTTTCAGTCCACAGAGCCAAGTGTGCTTTGGAGTAGTGAGCTACCAAGCACATCCAGCCTCTATGTTCCTGAAGGTGATATGATCGGTCTTGGTGTTAATCAACTACTAAAAAGCTCTTACAATCTCTTACGGGGAAGTCAGCACTGAACTGCAACCCAAGGTGGGCAGAAGAGGGCAAAAGTCAAACATGATCATGCTTGACTTTTACACCTGTAGTACTCAAAGGACTCTAATGTATTTTAGCCATTCCGGCATTGCCTATCTAGAAAACCATTATAATGAAACAACTTCTACGCATTCGGTATATGACGCTTAAATGGATTTTCCTCCTTTTAAAAACAGGTTGCTCAAAAATCTAAAGGGGACACTTAAGGTAATGTCTGGTGGCCTGAGTGACTCAGCTGGAAATATTGCATATTGTTGCCAACTTATGGATTTGCTGAAATCCACCCATGGAAAAAACCACAGGGATTTCTGTCAGTTGCCAGAGCTACTCAGATATATGTATACCAGCAATTTGAAATATCATTGGTGCTAAGGTAGCTATTGGAGTTCAGTTCAGAAAACATTTTAGTTTTGTAAATGAAACAGATGATATAATCAAATTTATGCAAATATGGAAATAAAATGATATGAAGTAATGGCAGAATGGTTACTAATTCAGCTGTAATGAAATCCATATTTCCTGCAGTGGAAGATCTCTATGACGAATATGAGAAATTGTTTCATAGGTAATGGGCCACAAGGAGGCACTATTGGCTTTCACATAAGCAGTGAAAATATTTACTCTTGCTAAAGCTGCAACTTACTCTTTCCAAGAAGAATCAACACTTCAAAACATTCTTCCCAATTAGTACTTCTAATGAGAAAGCTGACTGCTCCTTTTCAAAAAGTTATGCTTCGAAGGTGACTTAAATTTGAGAGCAAACTTTCCAAGGCTCTTTCTAAGAGATCAAAATTCTAGGGTGCACTAGTAGAATAAAAACAAGCCTCAAATATTTAACAAATAACAGATGATACATGATACTGTATTAACTTGAAGAAGAGAAAACAGAGGCAGAGATATTTAACAATTTGTCCTATGTCATCCACTAATTTACCCCCATGCTACTCTGGGTGTCTAAAAGCAGGGCTGTTCCTCAGCAGAACTTCACATACTTAATGCAAAGATAATCATGGTGTATATATCATGCAGCTGGGCCCTGTCAATAAACACTGCTAAAGAGTTCTAGAAGTCACACTACTCGAGAAATAGAAGTAAACGTAGTGTTTATCAAGATCTATGCAGTTTGATTTTGTTTTCAATTATGGAAAGGAGAGGTGAAAACTGCTGAATTACTTTACAAGCTATCACTTCACTTTATGACCACTTCTATGACTTTAAGCCTTTTGCACAAGCTGCTCGCATTTCTAGCATCACCCTGACAGTATACCTCAAAGGCTAACCCCTTATCTAAATGGGTATCACGCCTTTGCACTAACAGTTCACATAATCAGCTCTGTAGAATTCACTATATTTTTGAACAAGTATAGAATACCGAATCTTCAAATATTTGGAATAAATTAAAATACCTTTATGTAGAATAGATACTTGTTATATACTACCTTTTACGTTTTCCCCAGCATCCTCTTACGTACCCTTACCTTCGAAATGTAGGGGAGGCAATATCTGGATATTTGGACCCTGGCTGTCTGAGCCCTTGCGTACCACAGGCACTGGCAGAGGTGGGGCTGGATTTGGGGGAACCTGACAAAGAAACACTCTCTGAATCTGAGACAGCAACTTTCTCCTTCTCTTTGTCTGTTTGGTTGACAGTGACTGGACTTGAGCGCCCTGAGCCGATCTTAGTGGGTTCTCTCAGTTTGGAGGTGGTGGCCCCAGCCGACTTGCTGCTGACGTTGGAGTCAATGCTGCTGGTACTGGATCTGTGGCCACCTCGCCCAGGGATGCCACTGGTGCTGGACTTGGAAGGGCGAGGCAAGCTTCGGTACTGGAGGGTGGTCTTGGAGCTCACATGCAGGACACCGTCATCTTGATTCTGGGACCCATCTAGGCTGGTTTTCCTTCCTGCATTTGACTTCCCACCAATGGCAGCCGATTTGGGTATCTTCCCCAGCGTAGCTGACCCGCTAGTTATGGTGGCACCACTGCTGGTAATCATGGTAGAAGATCCTACACCACTTGGCTTCTTATAACCAAAAGAATTGCTGGCTGATGATCTGCCAATGCCCGAGGGTGGCTTTTTCCCTTCATCTCCGCTGCTTTTCCCTGCATCCGAAGGGGACCTCTGCAAGGATGATCCTTTCAGGGGTGTTTTCCCTTTCTCTGAAGCTTTGGCATCATCTGTCTTCCCTAATTAACAAGAAACACACCAATGGGTTCATTCGAATGTTTTGACATAGTAACACCTCCGAGACCAAATGTAAAAATGTGAATGCTCTTTATCACTTCAGTTCTGAAATATTTCTTCTCTCTGACCTAAACAGGCCCACTCATATAATGAGAGGATTGAGAGTGTGCATAGCTAGAAAGAAAAAAAAAAGTCTGTCGGAGGAAATGTAATGCTCTTGAGGAGATAAAGTGAATAGGTTATTTTCTTAGTTTTTAATGTTTTGTATCTTACAACACTCCTGCTTCAGAAGTCACTTATGCCTATCGAGCCAAGTACTAGACCAGTGGTTCTCAATCTTCCAAATACTGAAACCCTTTAACACAGTTCCTCATGTTGTGGTAACATCCACAACCATAAAATGATTTTTATTGCTACTTTGTACCTTTAATTGTGAATCACAATGTAAATATCTGATACACAGGATATCAGATATGTGAGCCCCAATGAAGTCTGGAGAACTGCTGTACCAGAAAAGAAGTAACTCTCCATACCTTTACTATGATTATATCTTAAGTGTTCTGTGACATCTGCATTTCAGGAAACACTATTTATAAAATAAGGGAGAGTCATTCAACTCTCAGGTTTGTAGTAAAAGGTATCAGCATTTCAAGCATTTGGGTGGTGGCACATGCCTTTAATCCCAGCACTTGGGAGGCAGAGGCAAGTGCGTCTTTGTGAGTTCAAGATCAGCCTGGTCTACACAGTGAGTTCTTGGAACAGGTTCTAAGGCTACACAGGGAAACCCCCTCTTGAAAAACAAAACAAACAGAATGTAGTGGCATTTGTAAAATCAATATTGAGACTATTCATTAAAAAGTCAGGAAAAGTGAGGTATTATTTGTCCAGAACCAAGACTTTACCTGTACATATAAAGTGACCATTGTAACACAGCACATAGCAACCCTCTGTGACAAGTGTGATCCCCACGGGATTTTCACATTGTCATACTTATGTGGGCTTATATGATCAGGTATGTGGATTGCAGAATAAACTTGTTTAACTGTGTGCATAAGAATCTAAGTAATAAAGGGAGAGCTAATACACATGGAAACAGATGCACAGTGGGACCATAGGTTAAAATTCTGTAGCGCAGATCTCACGTGACAAACCTACCCGGGGTCTTGAGTGCACTTGTGCCGGTTTTCTGCCTAGCTGGTGTTCCTCCTTGGGCAGACATGCCTCTCCTCCAGGAGCCAGTCTGAGACACAGACAGGGCCGCTTTCTGCCCGCCTGTCTTCTCAGAGTCTTCAGCAAGTCCAGAACTAGTATCCTTCCACTTGGCACCTCCATCACCGTGGCCGTCAAAGTCCTCTTCGGTCTTCTTAGCCTCCTCTGGACTGTCCCAAGTCTCGTCACCTGTTGACCGTTTCTCCGCATCTGTCTTCAGCTAGAAAGGAAAACTTTCCATGAAGAAAAACCCTACAAAGTGTGAATCGGGACCGGGAACGTGTTTTCAGATAACTGGCAGGAAAAATAACAAAGCCCTGATCTATACTTCAGAAGCGTGCCGGAAAAGATTCTATTTTTAACTATGCTTTCACTTAAGTTTCATCAGTTTGAGCCATAGAATTTCCCTTTGCAGATATTAGAGGATGACAGGATAAATAATATCCAGAAGAGCCTAATTAAACTTTACAAAGAAAGGGGGTTTTCTATGACAAATGTGAGGGAAAGACCAAGACAAGACAGCATGTATTCAATGTTCTTTCTTGATTGACCACCCACAAGTCAACCTACTAATTTGTTTTTGACATCATTATAAACTCATTAAAAATAATCCCATGTTAAAACTGTTTTTTAAACTTGGTTTTTAAGTAAATCAGTATTAGAGGGGAAAAAAAATGTTCAGGTGGGTCTTTCTGGGTTAGAGATCAGCAAATACTTCTAAGTCATTCACAATCTTCAAAGGAGGTGGGGGTGGGTCGGAGGGGTGGACACTGCTATAGTTCTGAGGGCTGCAACTCTAGGGGTCCTAAAACAAAAACACTTCAGATTCCAGTGTTGGTGAGTCATTAGCCTGTCTGATTATTCGGCTTATGCAAATACTTCAGATTAATGAATAAAATCACAGTTAAAGAAAATATATTTTCTTTTCTTTCTTTTTTATTTTCTTTTTACGTTTTCTGTTTTTCCTTCTCTCTCTCTCTCTCTCTCTCTCTCTCTCTCTCTCTCTTTTTTTGAGGAAGAAATTGATGGAATCACTGGGAAGAGAGGAAGAGAGAGGAAGGCTCTCACCTGAGTCTTCTTCCTGGAGGGGACAGTGATGTTGGAGTAAGAGCTGAGGGAGGACGCAGTGTTCAGGTCATCTGTGCTGATGTTATCCAGGGTATCACTGAGACCGCTGCTCACTGAACTACTGTCATCCCAGCTAAAGAGAAGACATGAAGCAGCAATGAGCAGGTCACAGGACCAACGATGCGAATCACAGACATTCCCACACAGTGTTTTCATGCATTATAAAGGCATTAAAACACTTACTATGAAAATTTGTTCACTATCCACTTTGGGAACATCATATTTATAAGAACTGAATAGATACTAAATAACAGCCCTATCTGGTATTTAGGAAGAACCAGAAGACATGGATTCTAGGCAAACATTAGAAACGTGAATACAAACACTAAGAGAAGAGTAACATGCCAACTGGGTCCCTCATACCACACCCACAAAAGCAACCTGAATAATAAAGTATCTAAGAATTAATTCTCTGTTCAAAAAAAAATGTTTGCTTTAGTAAGGCATCTGAAAACTATTCCTCATTTTCCTACCTTAAAATTACAACTATTCAACTGTGCTTAATATTGAAATTCATACAGTAATATTGCCCACCACATTTCCAAACCTCCACTGCCTAGATTCTTTAATGGGATGGAGTGCATATCTTAAAACTTGGTGGAAAGGACCTTTACCTGCTAAGTCATTTCCTCCTCAGCCCCCAACATCATCTTCTAAATGAAACCCTTAGCTTCAAATAGTATGCTAAAGTCACTATCACCTATTGTGATCACAACAATCACAGATATTTCTCAATAAACACAATAGCCTTATACAATCGACAGATCCAATAAACATCATGAACTTTCAATCTCTCATTGAAAATTGAAATAAAGTAAATTAACAAACATGATGGTCATGAAAAACAAATATCAAATAAAGCTTGATGTAAATAGGGGTTCCCCTGGGATTTGACCACTCTTACAGGTAGTACATGATAGGTTATTGAATGTACCATTCTGGTTTAATTAGCACCATACTACCCTTGTCTCTGTCTTCTCTCTCCTTTCCTAAAATATGCTCATAACAAGCATTATGTTCCCTGCCATCATCACTTGACTCTTCTGAATCCTATACGAGAACATCTTTGAAGTGCTCTGCATCTTGCCCTCCATTCTATTAACTTTAGAATATTTCCCTTGACAACAACTATGAAATCATGGTTATGATTTTGAAACCTTAATTACTTAGCTAAACTAAAATTTTTAGCCTTATTTGGAATTGTTCCCCAAAGGAGTTCTGTCAAAATCTCAAATTAACTCTATGTAGATCACATTATTCTTTCTGCAAAAATCCTTCCCAACATTCAGTATTATTCTTACTTCCTTTTTTTCTTAAATGAAATCTAATTCTCTGTGAAATCGTCTGTAATCACTTAAAAATTCCCTTTAGCAGGCACCATGACTGGCAGTCTTATACATTTTCCACTTTTTATAATATACTCAATACTCATTTCAAAAATATTGGTAATCATGTATTCTCACTCAGTGTGAGAAGTAAATTGCAGTTTTTCAAACAACTCAGTGTTTACTGAGAACATCAACTGTGATAAGCATATCCAATAGAAATTGGAAAGTGCAATGATAGAGGTTAGTTGTATAAATACATGGTGGGATATAATCAGGATTACTTCTTTCAAGAGCTAGTGTCTTCATGATGTGACTATGACAACAGTAAGTGGTAAGATCCTATGCTAACCAGTCTATTACTGCATTTTCACTCCTGATAACCAGTGTGTGTGTGTCTGTACGTGTGTGTTTGTGTATATTTCTGTCCTCCTTTTCATACTATGAATAATGGACTATGCTTTACTTTTCTTTATAGCTCTAATAGATAACAGTGTCTGTTGTTGACTATGCCACTAAATTATATTGCTAATGAAGCTTTGCTTTTGAAAATGCTGCTTTTTACTCATTGATTTTAAACTGGGGTAAGTCTGATAATAAATAAAAGACTTTTTAAAAAGATTTATTTTTATTTTATGTGTATAAATGTATTTATCTGCACACCGTGTGTGTGTGTGTGTGTGTGTGTGTGTGTGTGTGTGTGGTACCTCAGAGGAGAGAAGAGAGTATCAGATCATCTGGATCTAGAGTTACAGATGGCTGTGAGCTGGTATGTGGGTGCTGGGAACTAAATTCGAGTTCTCTGTAAAAACATCAAGTGCCCTTAACCTCAGAGCCACTACTTCAGCTCTATTAAATGAAAGTTTAAAGCAAACTTTTGTTAAACATAGTTCTTGAAGAAATACTTTTTTGACAGATAATGGGGTTCTTTTTCTAATCTTAAACTTCCATGACATTTGACTTTCTTCTTTGATTTTGTAGATAACAGAATTCTCCACAGCCATGATGCAATTAATTCTGTTGATTGTCACACACTTAATTAAGTTGAAAAAAAAACCTAATAGAAAATAGTTTTTAATGAAAGAAATATTAGCATAATTAGCTCTGAGTAATAAGTCTCAAATCTCATCAAATATTTTTCCATCCTTTAATTTTTAATTGCATTAAAATCTAAGGGTTTCTAACTATATTCTGCATAAAGGGCACCTCTTTATTTCTGGCAAATTACATATCTATAATCCTGTTGAGATTTTTCTCTCATAGTCTATGACAAATTTATAGGTTGTGGGATTGTTACTCATGCAGCTTTGTCTACAAATTGTGTACTTCCTGCCTTGAAACACTATAAATAAAGTCATTAAAACATTCACATACAAGTCTCTGTATGGTTATGATCCTTTGCTCACTAAGTAGGATAGTAGTCACAGTCACACTGACAAGGAAAAACTACACACTTTTCTAATGAGTGTGCAGAATTATGGCATCTCTCTGTGTGTCTCTCCTTCCTCAATATCTGTCCTTTTCTCTCTGGTGTGTGTGTGTGTGTGTGTGTGTGTGTGTGTGTATGTGTGTGTGTACTGATGGTGGGGGATGTACTCACGTTTGAGGGTTCTTGTAGAAGCCAAAAGTTAAAGTTAGGCTATCTTATTTATTGTTTCTACAACTTTTTCTTTTTTATTTTCCCCCTTTGAGATGGGATCTTACCAAGTAGCCCTGGCTGGATCTTGTAGATCAGACTGACCTAGAACTTAGAGAGGTCTTCTTAATGGAGATAAAGGCATGTGCCACCATGCCCACTCATCATATTTTTAGTTAGGATTTCTCACTGAACCCAGTGTTCACATTACATGTAGCCTGGAAGGACAGCAAGCTCCAGAGAGTTCTTTTCACCTTCTACTGCTGGGGTGGCAGAGGCTCAACACCAAGCCTGACTATCAGGTGAGTGTTGGAGATCTGGGCTTTCACTTAAAGCACTCTGAGAACAAAAGCCAACTCTCAAGTCACAATTTTGCATTCTTAGCTTAAGAAATGACTATTTCAGTCATTCCATAGTCTTACTGTCACAAGACCAAGGGTTGTAATCAGTTGCAAATAGTTCAGAATGTTCTTCCAATTTAAAAAAAAAATCAGTCTTGCTCTAGACTGCAGGTTTCTTCCATCTTTTTTTTTTTTTTTTTAAATTTTATGTTTCCTATAGCTTTACATTAGGCAGGATGGCAAAATTCTTAATTGTATTCACCATAAAGTATAGATCAACTTGTTCTTTTAATATATAGGTTTATGTTCTTTCCAGCCTTTGATGCACTTAGTTTCCATGGAAAATTTATAACAAAAAATAATTGACTGTATGACTATATGCATGGTGGTTTATTTCAAAGTTTCTATTGCTTCATTTCTATGGGCATTTCAGTAAATATTACCCGCATGCTGTGGCTTTACAGGAAGTCTTAAAAACAGATCGTGCAAATCGACCAGATTCAAGCTTCTTTTTACAAAATCACTGCAGCTATTTTTGTTCCTAGCATTTGCATGTGATTGCAGAAACAGCCTCTAAACATCTATTGAAAGGCTACCATGACTTGATCTGCATTTTATTAAATCTAGAGACCCATTGGGAAATACTGATATCCTCTCAAGCCTCTCAGGCCACCATCAAGAAATACTTTTCAATATATTTTTACCTTCTTTAATCTCTTTATGCAATAATGGGCAATTCTTGGAATCACAGAGCTTTAAAAAAGTAAATTGGGTTATATTATGAAAGCTGTCATACTATATGCTTAAATGTTCGTGTTTTATTTTTTCTCACTGTTGTTGCTTGTATATCAAATACAATCAAATTCTAAACCTTGGCTTTGTATGACATAACGTTGTCAAGTTCATTGATTGCTTTTTTGGTGCTGCAGGATGAAGGCCTGATTTTTTTAAAAGTAAATTCCTGTGTTACTTCTTCATGTATGTTCAGTCACGTCAACTCTGAACACAGTAAGCTAAACATTTCCTTTCTATACACTCACTCCAATATACTGAACATGCCAATGTGCAACCAAGAATGCCAGTTTTTCACATATAAGTATGATAACACACAGATACAATTATAATATTATTACCCCAATCATTAAATGCAGGAAGAAGGCTAAAGAATAAGCCCACACTAAATCATAATGGAAACGGAGGAATAAATAATTGAAAGGTCCATTAATTTTTTAGCAAGTGTCAAGAAAATCTGTGGTATGAAAAATAGGAAATTGAGACTTTTATATCAAATTGCAAATTAAATTCCAAGTCAGTGCAGCAGCTCAGTATGGAAAGTAGAAGACTATCCTGAAAATATAAATTCCATTCTTTAAAGGAGAGACTTTGAAATTACAAACCAATGAGGATGTTCATAAAGAAAAGAATTAGACTTTATAAGCCAATCTTTCTTACACGTTGAAAGTGTGACCTGAATGTAGAATGGTAAAATACACATTATTTTTATTGGGACATAACAGAAAACACTTGTAATAATTACTACATGAAGGGCAACTAAGTAATAATAAATATTCACAGAAGACAAAGAATCTTGATAATGTACAAAGAAAAATCCCAAAACATCCCAAAAGCATATGAAGAATTTTACCTTTAGAGTTAAAGTTCTATCTAGCAATCAACCAGCATGTATAAGGTCCTCACAAGTGACTAGATACTCTGTCTTCTTTACACTTTCTAGTAACTCACAAAAACCCAGAAGTAATGGTTATAAGGT